ACTTTCCAAGCTTCAAACTAGATCAGACATATCACATGGATCAGTTGCTTCAGGATTTGGGAATTAAAGATCTTTTCTCTTATAAAGCAGACCTAAGCCATCTCACAAATCATAAATTCGTAAAAATATCACAGGTAAAAAAATAATTACTATACTTACTATATTGTTCAACCAAATATATTTAACAAGTAACATGAAGACCCATTCATTTACTGGAGACCCACTTGCTAAACGTGGGTTTCTCAACTTTGTCATGCTAACTACAATAGAAAAAAGAAACAGGATCTTATAGTTCACAAATTGATGAGTTACATGATCATAGCTGATGGGGAGTGCATCGATTCATGATCTGTATAGATCAGTGGTTCTCAACCTTCCTAATGCCGTGACCCCCAACCATGTGGTCGTAAGTCGAGGACTACCTATATTTCCCTGCGGGCGGGGCAGGAGGAGGCGCTCACACTCCGCCTCCTCTCCTGCGGCTGGAGCGCACACTGGGCAGGCCGAGGGTGCACGCCGGCCATCGCCCAGCAACCGCCTTGGCCCGGGAGCGCTGCGCATGCATGGTGCCGCCCCCTGAGCTAGCCGAGGCATAGTTAGCAAGCGGCAGTGATGGCACAGCCACCAGCTGGCCCAGCCCAAGAGAGGTAAGCCACCCGCCAGGCCCCACGCGTGCCAGCAACTCTCCCTGCATCTGCCACTGCCCCGCTAGCCTTACCTTGGCCGCCGCACGTTCAGTGCGGTGGCAGGCAGGCCAGGCGCTCCTGGGCAGCCATGGCACGTGGCAGTGAGGGCGCAGGGTGATCACCGGCTGGGCCACCAGCTGGCCCAGCCCAAGGGATGTAAGGCACCCACCAGGCCCCACGCGCACCAGCAACCCTCCCTGCACCCACCAGTCTCCCACCTCCCACCCCTGGCCTTCTTTTACTTACATTTAGTAGTTGCTCAGCACGGAGGGGTGGAAACGTCCAGAAAACTCCCCTTAGCTGCAGACAACTTGCAGCACCATTTGCAGACTGGGACTTTTGGCGGGCTCAGCAGGGCAGAGACAGCCTGGACAATTCCTATTGGCTTTTGAAAGCCAATAGAATTAGACTCTATTCAAGAGAGTCTATTCAAGAGATTCTATTGGCTTTCGAACGCCAATAGAATAGAGTCTCTTGAATAGAGTCTATTCTATTGGCTTTCAAAAGCTAATAGAATAAGAGGGAGTAGCACAGCTAAGGAAAAAGGGGAAAAAATGGTGGACTGCATTGTTTGGCGACCCCTGTGAAATGGTCGTTCGACCCCAAATGGGGTTGCGACCCACAGGTTGAGAACCACTGGTATAGATCTAAACAAAAGTATCATGCCTCGTCATTGATGTTGCATTTGTAGACACAGGGTTTTTGCCTTTACAAGATTCAACCTCATTGAGTGATCCATATCCAGAACCATTTTGGATAAGTGCTACAGATTAACTTTACTGTAATTATACAACTATTTAACTCCTAAGAATATTCAAGGTTAACTAGAAATGACTAGAATAGCATGAACCTACATGTTCTGATAAGAGTAGGAAAGGCTCAGAATTTAACTCTCATTTCATGCTAAATAATCCAATCTACCTACACTGTGATCCTCTGCAACCATCCCTTTTAGTGTTCCATTTTATTATCAGGAAATCAGATTATCAGGAAATGTCTCCAACCCAGAAAAATGGCATCCCAAATTCTACCAGCTGCAGACTATTTATTTTATGATAGATATGTATTATTTTAAAATATTAATATTTAGTATTATACATAGTGGCCTATGGGGAAGAATCTAATTTAGTTCTCAGTTCTTAGTGACTTGAACCTGCCAAAGAGTTTGACTACAATTCAATATATCTGATTTTAGTTTGAAAATTTTCAGCATAGTTACAGCAGTCAAAATCATGATAGCTAGTAGTTTGTAGAGTTGTTGTAGAGTTGTAGAGAGTAACAAGCTAAGGAAACATGATTTAATCCATGATATTGATAGTATGTATGCCGATCCTGTGTATTATGTAATAACACTGTGCAAGACCTTCCGAATTTCAGACCTTACTGGATGAGACTATCTGAATTCATTCCAAGCAACCTTTGTTGATATATGCGACTGAAACTATCTTATTCAACTAAATGGCTTTTGTAAGGATTTGATCTGAGACAGTTGACTCTACTAATCCTTATATATCTCTCAGTGATTTTCAGTATCATTGACTATTGTATTGCTTTCAACCAAACAATACTGCCTTTAGTTTGGGTCCAGAGAATGATGCTGGCAAACTACTATTAAACAGACTGCTCTGCTCAATAATCTCTTGCCATATATGATCTAGCACTGTATCACTAATTATCACTATCGGATATATAAATATATATTCTTCATTTTCAAATGTTTCTTTTTCTTGAAAAAATGAGTTCATGATCAAGTATCTGCTCAAAATCTTTTGCAAAAAGACCATCAATTCATTTAGATTTTCTACAATCACGTAACCTCCATTACTACTATTACTAGCCACCCACCCACCTACTCCTGGTTCTGTCTGTCTGTCTTTTAATTGCTGGTCTTCATGTATTTAACAAAATGCTGAACAAATTTTCTTTTATGCACCTTTTGTTTAGGGATAACAAATCTGGGCTGCAAACTTCTGTGTAGGATGGAAAACACTGAATTCTTTGCTGACACCTAGTGATTTTTTGTAGCTCAAATCTGGTAGTCCTGTCACTTCTGCATATTTCTGTATGTTTCACTTGTTCTCTCTATTTTCTAGAGTAGGGGTCCCTAAAATACGGGCTGTGGCCTATTTGGAATCAGATTGTGGCCTATTTGGAACCGGACTGTGCGAGCGGTGGGCACTGGCATGTGTATGTGCACATGCTCAGCTTTACTCATGCAAGTGGTGGGCCACACACACATACAGCTCAACTTGCACAAGTCAAGCTGTGCACATGTGTGCCAGCTCACTGCTCACGCTGCCCAGTTCCCCTCTCCCCCTCCCCCCAGCCAGGCCGCCAGCCAGAAAGATTGGGGACCGCTGTCCTAGAGGAAACCTGCTTCCTGCTAATATTTTCCTTGACTGTGTTCATTAACTATCCTAGTGACTTTTGAGATTCAGTCATGTCCAGAAGTCTGGAGAGATGGGATCTTTTTGACTGCCCCTTTTAATTTCCCTTCTACAGAATGTTTATCTTTTAAAATTCAATGCTGGCATATCCCCAGTATGTTCTTATTGAGACAAAGTGTTTGTAGCTGTGGATTTAGGATGCTGCTTCCACATAAGTGAAAAAATGTATGCATGCTCAATTTTCAATCTGTGTTGAAGAGGCAGACCAGTTGATAGGAAATGTGAGCATCTTACTAAAAATCTCCATATATTTCCATTCTTTTTAGATTCTTCAAAGAGCAAGCATTGAGGTGGATGAGAAAGGAACAGAAGCTGCAGCTGTCAGTGTATCTGAAATCATGGCATACTCTTTGCCTGATACTATCCGGATAAATCGGCCATTCATTTTTATGATATATGAAGATATTACCAAGATTGTATTGTTTTTGGGCAGAGTTACTAATCCTACAGAACTGTGAATTAAACAAAACCCAGTAATTTCTTTTTGATGCATCCTATTTTAATGACATAACCCCTCCCACCACCACAAGTCAAATTACATGCTATATACTAAGAACACATTTTAAATATGCTTTAGCACTAACTTCTTAATTTTCAGGAGAAAAATATAGGGATATGGAAAACAGGTAAACATTTTCCTTCTTAAAATATATTCACCAAATATTCTCTCCTCAAAACAATATTTTCCTCTTATGCTATTATACACAGCAAATAATATCTTTCAGGAAAATAGAATTAGAATAAAAATTTAATGGAAAAGATTACTTTCACACAATCCCTTTCCCCAAAGCATTCAACACTAAAATAGCAAAAAGGAGCATAGTCGAAGAGAAAGCTCCCACATCCATTGTGTGGGAAATATCTTCATTCACACAAAGCAGTATGTCAAAAATAATGGGCACGTTCTCCAGAATTATTAATCCAAGATATATAAAAAGCAGGGACCTGGTTTTGGGGAGAGTAGGAGGACAAAATAGTATCCTTTGTTCAGTTGTTATGGTCATGAGGTCTACACTTTAAATACAGCTGAAAATTACTGTACTTTTTTTTTTAAAGAGGGCTCAGTGTATGATATGTACTCTTTATTGCTGTTAGAAATAGTTGGGTCCTCTTCGCAACATAAAGAAATTACTAATGTTTTCTGCAAGCTAATCAGAATTAGAACCACAGCATAGTGCTACAAGTTAATGCTGCTGTCAAAAGTATTTATTAGCAATGTCTATGCAGATTCTCAGTCATCCAGGTTGTGGTTGTCCCAAAGATGCTTTTTCAGGAGGCAAGTGGACTTTTTTTGTTTTTCTTTGAATACATTTCACTTCTCATCCAAGAAGCTTCTTCCGCTCTAATTGGATGGTGGGGAATGGAAAGATTTACATTCTTTGCAGACAGCTGATCATTTGCATTATTTTAGAGTAGTGTTTCTCAACCTTGACAATTTTAAGGCATGTGGACTTCAACTCCCAGAATTCCACAGCCAGCAATGCTGCCATAAAGAAGAGGGACTTAAGCTATTTTCCAAAGCACCTGAAGGCAGGACAAGAAGCAACGGGTGGAAACTAATCAAGGAGAGAAGCAACCTAGAACTAAGGAGAAACTTCCTGACAGTGAGAACAATTAATCAGTGGAACAGCCTGCCTCCAGAAGCAGTAAATGCTCCAACACTGGAATTTTTTAAGAAGAGACTGGACAGCCATTTGTCCGAAATGGTGTAGGGTTTCCTGCCTGAGCAGGGGGTTGGACTAGATGACCTCCAATGTCCCTTCCAACTTTACTACTACTACTACTACTACTACTACTACTACTACTACTACTACTACTACTATTATTATTATTATTATTATTATTATTATGCCTTAAAATTGTCAAGGTTGAGAAACACTGTTTTAGAGAGTCATTGAAAGCAGTCAACCAAAACTATTTCAAGTGCTTCATGAGTTTATCCTCATCAATTTGGTCTTGCTTGAAGTGTACAGATCTACAATAAGAATTTTGCACTTATTACAAGGGAGAGAAGCTCTAATAGCAGCAGAAGGGAAGGGAAAATAATATGTACCAGTTAACATGAAAATGAGAGGTGGGGAAGCAAATTAGATTGTGGAAACTACAGAGGTATCTCACTGCTGTCCGACACAGACAAATTCTTTGCCTTCATTCTTTTGAAAGGACTTGTCATTGTCTTGGAAAGGAACGTCCCAAAGGTGCAATGTGGCTTTCAGCCAGAATGGAGTAGAGCAGACATATTTGACATGAGGTGATTCCAGAAATGCATTGAGCAGAACATGCCTCTTTACTGTCTTTCTTGATCTGACAAAGGCATTAAACACTATAAAGGAGGAATCTCTCTGGATCTTCCTGAGATATTATGGATGTCCAAAGAAATTTGTGAGGTTGATTCAGCTACTCTACAACAGAATGACAAGACAGGTTCTTTATCATGGTGATACATCAACTGCATTTGTTATTTCCAATGGAGTAAAACAGGATGGTGTGCTAAACCCAGTTCTATTGAATCTGTTCTTCACTTGCATGTTACATTTTGTCTGGGGTCTGAAGGTGGAACTGTGTATCAGGTACCAATTGGATGGCCCCCTCTTTGACCTTCACCACTTGAGTGCACAAGGTGCTTCTATATAGTCATTCAAGAAACCCTCTTTGCTAATGTCTGTGCATTCCTGATGCACAAAGACAGTGATTTCCAGCTGATGCTGAACAATTTCTGACACTGCTATGGCTCTGATTATCAGCTGATTAGATTATCAGATAATCAGCTTGATTATCAATCTGAACAAGACTGCACTATTTTAGCCAAATGCTATCTGTAGAACCAACAATCAGTATTGAGGACACCTAGTTGACAAATGTAAACAGCTTCAGATATTTGGGAAGCATCATCTCTAGTGATGCATCTTTGGACAAAGAAATTGACTGCAGAATTAGCAAGGCCAGCCAGGCACTAGTTGCATACTAGAGTGCTTTATCAACATATCATCTCTTATCATCTCTAGAAAGCTGAAAGCCTCCAGAGCAGTGGTTATTCCTTCTTTCTTATTTGGATGTGAGTCCTAAACACTGTACTGAAGACACATAAAAAACCTGAAATTTCATATGTGCGTTCTGTAGTCCATCTTAGGCAGATGTTGACAAAATTGTATCTCCAACCTGGAAGTCTTGGATCCACCAGTGTCCACCAGCATTAAATCCCTGACTATCAAAACCCAGACGATGTGAGTGGAACATGTCATCAGAATGGATGACCACCATATGCCTTACCAGTTGCTCTATAGCACACCAGAGTCTGAGAAAACACCTCAAAAGGTTGACCGTGCAACTACTCAAAGATACTGGAAAAGAAACCTTGGGTCATCCAGCCAAGGGAACTAAAAGCTGTGGCTATTGACTGAACCTACTGGCTAGCCCTGTGCTATGAAGCCTCCATCAGCACTGAAGACAGCACTGTCCAAAACTTATAGAAAACTGTGAGTAGCATCACAGTATAATACTCAGTTACTACAATAATGGGTTTCCAGTGCCCCATTGTGCTAGACTCTACACCTCCAGTCTGGGACTGCAGTGTCACTTCTGTGCCAAGGATAACAGCACCACAGTGCTTCTTCTTTGAACACAAAGGATTACTATATAGACTTGATCACAGAATTTATAATTATGCAGTACTCAGCAAAGGGCAATATCCCAAAATACTAGAAAGTTTCACTTTTGGGAAACAGTGTATGAATTGCATCATTAAGAGAAGGCTGTATTTGCTGTTAATTAAGAAAAAGAGGACTGACACTGATTGAAATTTGGGACAGTGTCTATTAATGAGATGAAAAAGAAACATTATGGAGAAAGTTACCGTAAATGCCGGTGTATAAGGTGACTTCCGCGAGCGCTGAAATCGGCGCCAAAGACGGGGGTCGTCTTATACGCCGAGTCGTCTTATACACCGGAAATACTGGTAGTTTCCGGCGTATAAGACGACGTTCTAGGAATGCGGCCCGGCTATAAAGACGGGGGTCGTCTTATACGCCGGGTTGCCTTGTACGCCGGCATTTACGGTAGTTGCTACGTTTGGATTGCTGAATGCTCTCTGCATGATACCATGAATGTACATTTCTTAAGAATATAAAAAAAAAACCCCACTCATTCCAAGGCAAGCCACCAGTTCATGGAGCTTGATATCATTTAAATATGGAAACAGTTCTCTAGAGCTTCAGACAGATATCATTTGCAGATCCATTTGGAAAGACCAGGTATTGAAACTAAGATTTTCAGCACAACGAGCCTTTTCAGGTATTGCTACTTTAGTGTTTAAGTGAATAGCTTATTGTTCAAGGGGTTGGTTTGCTACTATAGGAGCAGAGAATTTTGCTATGCTGCATGTATTACTTACATATTAATCACTAGTGCAGTGGATACAGAATATTCCTGTCTGTTTTTTTTATTTTTTATTTAATTTAAATTAAAAGCTGCAAATTAAATCTCTCCCACCCAAAACATGCCAGAATTTTAATGGCCTAAATTTTATTGTGCATAAAGCATTCATTATTTCACATTGTAAAAAGTAACCACACATTTATTCATTCACAAATTAGATTATCTTTATCATACACCAACATATTTAAAAAAACAGATAGTCTGATATCAATATAGTTTTGCTGATTGCATTTGTGAAGTAGAGAAGCTGACAATAGCTTCATACAGTCTCTCTCAAGTATTGGCATAAATTGAATGTGTTAAATAAAACTGCATTTTGCAGGCAAATTTTGATAGGAATGCTAGCATGAATACAAACAGAATGATGTTGATATAGCTAAAAGCATGATGGCTTGAATTAACTACTAATTAAAAACTAGATTAATCATCTCTAAAATGTTGGATAAAGAGAAACTACAATAGAATATACTGGTAAATTAAAACAAAGTATTTGTACAATAAAATTGCAATGTGAAATTTAAGAAATCATTCATATGCTATTTGGAGGTATCTGTTTCTTATTAAAAAGTGAAAAGAAATCCTCTTGACATTTTATACACTAGATAAGCAATATTATCTAAAATTATAGCAGAAGTTTATTTTAAAGGACTACACTTCTCCACATTTCTCTGTTCATGCTTCCAGATTCCACACTGAAGCTTCTTCGATATTTAAAAGCTTTTTTGAAAGAGAAAGTGTCACTTGTTCAGTTAATTCTTATACGCAGAGCAATTTCACACATATGGCCCTATTTCCATAGCGAAGGCAAATTAGGAGTCCATAAGCTTGTAAATAGCTATATTTTAAAGTAGAGGGCACTTTCATTCCAAACTGAATAACCTGACCTAGTAGAAGGCATAATTGAGAGGGGGAAGTAGGGAAACCCTGTCTCTTTAGCTGCAGCAGATTTAAAGCACATTGCTAAAGTAACGTTGAATTAAGCACTTCACTTACAACATTGGCATTCTGCACATATTACATTATTTCTATGAAGATATTTTACAACATAGGAATTTATTTAATTGACAGAAGATGTTAACATTATGGTATCAAATCAATCCCTCCTTCCTGGTCCTTAAATTCAAGGTTGTACTCTAGCTTTGTCCAATCCTGGCTTCAGCCACATTGGCTCTGGTGGTCTTTGGTGTGCATGCTTTCTTTCACCAGCTCTAGGAGTTTAATTTTCTGTTTTTCCTTGAGAGAAAGAAAAACACTCTTATCACACAGAGCAGATCAAATTAACAGTGTTCAGAACTGCTAACTTCTTGCAATCATCATTTACAGCCCCAAAACTGTTGTGATCTTAGGCTCATGTATTGTAAGTAAAAAGAATCAACATTATTTCTTCTAAATCCAACAATGCGATGCTTTTTAAAAAGAATATTCTTGATTCAAGGCGCACTCACTTTCCCATCCATTGTGCCATCCAACTCCACTGGCTTCCTTTCCACCCATCGCCCACACCTTGTGGATTTTCTTTATGTGGAAATTGTCCATCCATTACTATGCAATAAAGAAAAGTCTGCGTATGGACCTCAGAATACACAAATCTTAAACTATTGGTTTGGAAAAAATATATACATACATATTAAAATAATTTTATTGTAGAATCCTTTTTTAAATCAGACTCATTTGTTTTAATAGTGATCAATACAGAAAACTGGGTGAAGTCATCTGTAAGCATGTGGGTATCAGTATGTTGATGATATACAACCGCCCTGGGCCTTCCATGAGATGCTACTGAGCTGCATTCTCAGTGCTTGGATACCTGTGCGTCTGGTAGGGGAGGATCACCTTCTTGGAGTTGAAGTCATAAAAGAGCCAAGGTTGCCTACCCCTGCCCTAGATCAAAGTGGCTTTCTTTTCTGCTACCATTGCTTAACTGTTAGAAAGATTATGTTGAAAGACAACTATCTTAAACATAAATAATATTGCCAGAGCAATCATACCTGCCTGTCATTGTAACTTGTATACCTTAATCTGATGAGTAATAATGTGAATAAGTTTCCTGTATCCTTGTTAAAGATATTTATTTCTGAGTACTAATATTAAATTAAAGGAATTATTTAGAACATTACCAGATACTTTAGCGGTATATGCCCATATGGTAAAGTATTACTTATCCCAACCCACATTAAAATTATTCATCTTAGGGGCACATAATGCCTGACTAGCTATATATTTTAATGCTTTGTGAAGGAGTGTAAGAATATAAGTTATTATGTTGAAAGAAAATATCTGAAGCTCTTCACAATGAGCAGATATACAAAAGATAATAAAACCAAATGCAGTACAACAGTCACAGAACATACTTTTTTTTAATTACCTATGTTTGTGATTCATGTTTGCTGTCTATTTGAGTATGACTCATTTAACGCAGTCTATTTACTAGCAATGGGAATGAATATGTTCTGTTTTCAAACTCATTGATGCAAGTCTCCTGTGGATAAAATTACTTTCTGAATGAAATTCTATGAACAGCAATGCACTACAAATGAAAGTTACAGGCCTACTATAAACTGAAAATTGATTCAGGTATCTGAGAATTCCCACAGCTTCCAGATGAACACTACTGAAATACAAACTGAGATGCAATCATACATCTTTCTGGTTTTCAAAACAAAGGTACAGGTAGTACTTACAACAGTTCATTTAGGGATCATTCAAAGTTACAACAGCACTGAAAAATATGACTTATGACTGTTTTTCATAGTTACGATCTTTGCAGCATCCTCATGGATCATGTGACCAAAAGTCAGATGCTTGACAACTGGTTCATATTTATGATCTTTACTGTGTCCCAAGGTCGTGTGATCCCTTCTGCGACCTTCTGACAGGCAAAGTCAATGGGGAAGCCAGATTCACTTAACGACCATGTTACTAACTTATCAACTGCAGTGATGCACTTGGCAACTATGGCAAGAAAAGTTGTAAAATGGGGCAAAGCTCACTTAACAAATGTCTCACTTAACAACATAAATTTTGGGCTGAATTGTGGTCGCAAGTTGAAGACTTCCTATATTCACAAGCTTTCCAGTGCTCTTCCATGTGTACATGCCTCCGCATCTGCCAGGCTGCAGAGACAGGGCTCAGATGTTTGTGATCCAAGCCCCATCTCTGCAGCCCAAACAGAGAGGCTGAGGGTCCAACTCAGCAGACGGCAATGTCAGCCAAACCCCAAGAACAAGAGGGAGATCTCAGGCAGGTGGCAGCAGCAGCAGCTTGCAACCTTCCCTGTCGGCTTCCCCACTGACTTTCTGAGAAAGTTAATAGAGATGATTGCAAATGGCAATCACATGATCACAGGGCACTTGGGAATTGGTCATTAAATGTGAACAGGTTGCCAAATGCCACAAATGTGGTCGTGTGATCACAGGGGGAGCAGCACAGTGTTTTATGATAGCCAGAAGTGCTTTATGGGCCATAAAGCACTCTTTCTGAGGCAACGGTAATTTCAAACAGTTGTTAAATAACCAGTGATAAATTGAGGATTACCTGTAATATCAAAAAATACAGGCTGCTGATGAATAAAATTGCAAAATAACAGTGCCTAAATCAGCGGTTCTCAACCTGTGGGTCACGACCCTTTTGGGGGTCGAACAACGCTTCCACAGGGGTCGCCTAAGACCATCGGAAAACACATATTTCCGATGGTCTTAGGAACCGAGATACTAGTGAGAATTTCTGCTCAAGGCTAGCTGTGCCAGTCAGCTCGGACAGACAGGAAAGCAGCCGCCTCAGCAGCATGGTGGGCCTGCGCCAGCCATTGCAGAGCAGCTATTGCTGTGTCGCCACGGCTATGAACCTCCTGCTCGGCGTCTTTCAGATCCTCTTGCCTGGCTTCCGTCTGGGAGAAGCGCAGGGCAAGGTAAAAAAAAAAAGCCTGGTGAAATACTCCCGAGGGGTAGTATCGATCTGTAGTGGGAGGTGAAGGGGTCGGGTGGATGGTGGGGGTCGACCAGAAGGGGACCGGGTCTGATAAGGGCAAAAGTTGAGTGAAGTTTTTCCCCTCGCCCCTCTCTCCACCTCCCTTTGTGCAGCGGCGTCTCTGGCTGCTGCCTTCCCAGTCACCGAGAAAAGGGAAAAAAAGAGCCGTGAGCGAGTTCCCCTTTCTGCCTCGTTGCTGAAAGCTTTTTTTTTTTAAACGACCGCTTGTTCAGAACTCCTCGGGGCTTGTTTGCACGAGCTTGTGGCAGATCAGTAAATAAAGGGGTGGGGGAGCCAAACCACCCAAGGCGTTTGCACCCTGAACATGTGGACGCTGCTTTCATGACTTGCTACCACCGCCCCCTCTCTTCCCGCCCTGCTTGGGCAACGCACTGCTGCTGCTTATGATGGCTGAGCTGAGGTGCTGAGCCGGTCCCCACGTCTCCTGGTTACTCGGCCGCGCTCCGCTCCCGGCTGCCCTCCACGTCGGAGCCTCCCCGTGCAGCCCGGCCTGCCTCCCTCGCCGTCGGAGGGCATCTGTGTGTGTCTCCAGACCTTACTGGACTACCATCCCCAGCAGCCCTAAAAAGCACTGTGGAAGAGTGGGGAACGCTGGGAGTTGCAGTTCATCACCATCTGGAAAAACATGACTCTCCAAAGATCAATCCTTCCTTCCTTCCTTCCATCCATCCATCTCCTTCCCTTCCCCTTCAATCTCTCCTTCCTTCCTTCCTTCCTTCCTTCCTTCCTTACTTCCTTTCCTTCCTTCCTTCCTTTCCCCCTCAATCTCCTTCCTTCTCCATCTCCTTCCTTTCCCCTTAAATCTTCCTTCCTTCCTTCCATCTCCATCCCTTCCACTTCAATCTCTTTCTCCTTCCTTCCTTCCTTCCTTTCCCCTTCAATCTCCTTCCTTCTCCATCTCCTTCCTTTCCCCTTCAATCTTCCTTTCTTCCTTCCCCTTCCCTCCCTCCCAACATTTTTGAGCAAGGAAGAGTAAGCTTCTCCAGCGAGCATTGCTATATTGTTTTTGTGATTAATCACTATGCTTTAATTATATTCAATTCGTTACAATGAAAATACACTCTGCATATCAGATATTTACATTACTATTCATAACAGTAGCAAAATTACAGTTATGAAGTAGCAACGAAAATAATTTTATGGTTGGGGGTCACCACAACATGAGGAGCTGTATTAAAGGGTCATGGCATTAGGAAGGTTGAGAACCACTGGCCTAAGTAAACAATGGTTCTTTAATTATCAGTACATTCATACATATGAATTTGTATCTCTGTAGACCATCATTTGAATCTAAAGCTATTATTCCAGAATGATGATCAGTACAAGTGCAAAGTCATATGTGTGAGTCATAGAGATAATGAATACTAATTCCACACTACTCTTACCCACATCTAGCAGCATTAAAATACAGTGATGAGTCAATTGCAGCTGTTCCTGAAAACCAGTGTTATGATTATTTTAGTCATCATACTATCCAGAACTACCATAATAATTCTAGTTCTTTGTATAGTATATTTGGGCCAGGAACATTGTTTTTGAGATGAAACAGCTTACCAAAACAGGCATAGCCTCCCCAATACTAAATCAGAAGAGTTAAACCTTTAATTCATGGGTTGTCTAGTCTTAGTAATAAATTAGAATGAATCTGTAACCACTACTTCTGTGTTCTTGCTAAAACAATGGTTAAAGCAATCATAAATAATTATCTCAACATAGCTGTGGAAATGACAACATAAGCAGAATTCATTTTCATCCTGAGTAGGAGAAACAACTTAAAAGTGTGAAAATGAAAAATCAGTTATTTATTGTAATCTTTAATCCTGCACTAATTTTAGTTGATCACTTACAAGCTAACCTTCCGTGAATGGCTCTCTTTATTCCCATTGCTTTTTTGATCAACTGTGTTATTTGTGTTACGAGAAGAAGATGGTAAGGTGGAAGTAGAGTTAAAAACAGCAGTGCCGCTGACATTGTTGGGACGAGTTCGGAAGGAATCATCTAAAAGAAAATATATAAAATTTCAGAAAGTCAAATTATAATTAAACTAATTTGTTTCAGAGCTAAAAATTTTGTTAGTTGCATGAAGTGATTATCAAGCAGATATGTTAGCTTTTATAATTTCTTGCATTTGAGACAAAACTAGGGCATTGGACTCTTTAAAAACAAAACAAAGCCACTAAAATAATTGTAATAAAATATTATTTTATTTGAGGGAGATGAACAGTTAAGTATGAAATATAAATAAGTGAATGAATGAATGAATAAAAAGTAACACAGTTTTCTTACCAGTAAATGAGAACATAGAATTCTTTGCTACTCCTGACACAGAAGTATAGCCTATTGAAGAACTTTTGCTGAAGATATAACACAAATATAATGGGAATGTTATAATGTGTACTTATCATATTAGTTTTTATAATTTTTCATTTCAGAGATTTCAAGACAGTTCACAACCTTACACAACATAGTTATAAAGTAATAGTCCTCAACTTATTACTGGTATCACAATTACACCCGAAATCTTGATTGTAAGTCGTGGTAATGATCTTTTTGCTTAACCACTGCAATCCTGGCTCTCCCAATTGTGATAGTTAAATGACCGCATGGATTGTTGAATGGTCAGAGTGAAATAGCTGCCTGCCAAAAGTGGGCATGTAGCTCCCCTCTGTGCATGAAAAAGTATTCCTGGCCTGTGTTTCTCCAGCTCAGTGCAGGGGTTCCCCTCCCCTCAATGCAGCAATCCAAGCTTCATTTCTGCAGCCCAGCAAAGGAATCTCCCTTTCCCCTATGAATGGAGGGAAGGGCGATATCCTTTGGTAGGCAATAGTAGCTTACAACATTTCCTACCATTTTCCCATTGATTTTTCTGGGAAGGCTAGTAGAGAATGTTGCAAATAGTGATTGCATGACAACCTATCTCAGGAGTTCCTTTCCCCTTTGTGTGTGGAAGGTAACCACTGTGCTGGGCTGGAAAAAGGAAGCTTAGATCGTCTGGATCCAAGCTTCTTTCTGCAGTCTAGCACGGTGATTCTCCTCCCATCTGTGTCCAGAAAAGGATTGCTGTACTGGGCTGAAGAAAGGAAAAATTGAATCTTCAAGATCCGAGCTTCCTTTCTCTGGCCTATCACAGGAGTTACCCTCCCCTCCATGTGCTAGCTTTTCTGGCCTTCAGAAAAAAAAATTGCTAGCTTTTTAAAAATATAGACACATTTGGCCCCTTCCAGTTTTTTATCCATTTAATTTTTAAAGTATGGCACATCACTCAAAGAATTTTTTTTCTTTTCAGCCCTTCCTTCTTTAGAATAGAATAGAGCTTGAAGGGACCTTGGAGGTCTTTTAGTCCAGCTTCCCGCTCAAGCAGGAGAGCCTATACCATCTCAGACAAGTGACTGTCTAGGCTCTTCTTAAAAACTTCCAGTGATGGAGCACCCACAATTTCTGGAGGCAAGCTGTTCCACTGGTTATTGTCCTCACTGTTAAGAAGTTTCTCCTTAATTCCAGGTTGTTTTTCTCTTTGATCAGTTTCCAACCATTGTTTCTCGTCCTTCCCTCTGGTGCTTTGGAGAATAATTTGACCTCTTTGACCTCTTCTTTGTGGCAGCCCCTCAAATACTGGAATACTGCTATCATGTCGCCCCTATTTCTTCTTTTCTTTGGACTAGCCAAATCCAAGTCCTGCAGCTGTTCTTCATATGTTTTAGTCTCCAAGCCTTTCATCATCTTTGTTGCTCTTCTCTGAACTTTTTCCAAGATCTAAACATCTTTTTTGTAGTATGGTGACCAAATTTGATTGCAGTATTCCAAGTGTCGTCTCACTAAGGTTTTATAAAGTAGTATTAATACTTCGCGTGATCTTGATTCTATGCCTGTTTATACAACCCAGGATTATATTAGCTTTTTTCACAGCTGCTGCACATTGCTGGCTCATAGTCAAGTGATCGTCCACCAGGATCCAAGGTCCCTCTCACAGTTGCTGTTTTTGAGCAGGTCTCGCCTAAACTGTACTTAAACCTTTGATTTTTTCCTGCCTAAATGTAAAATTTTGCTTTTCTCCACATTAAAACTCATTTTGTTGGATAGGGCCCATTGTTCCAGTTTGTCAAGATCTTTTTGAATCCTGAGCTTGTCTTCTGAGATGTTGGCTATTCCTGCCAGTTTAGTGTCATCTGCAAATATGATGAGTTCCCCTTCAATTCCCTCATCTAAGTCATTGATGAAGATATTGAAGAGTACTGGGCCTAAGATGGAGCCTTGTGGTATCCCACTGTTTACTTTTGGTTTTTGGAATTGGCAAAGCAAATGTTATGCTTCCATAATGAGCAGCTACAGTATAGGTTATACACTACAGTCATGCACCTAACATTGGAGAAAACAAAATATTACATACCTGGAGCATTTGTCAATGTTGCCATATTTTGACTGAATAGCTTGACTACTGAAAGACTGACTTCTAACCAATTTAGACTTTTTTACTTCTTTGCCTAAAAGAAAAATTATAATTAATAATATAGCTCTTTCTTAGCAAATATATAACTGCAAGTGCAATCCATAATCTGCCAATGAGTAATGCTAATAGGCATGAATACTGTTTTTTTAAACCATGTTTATGTTCTAAAAACCATTATCCTCACTGAACATAAAGGTCCAGTTATTAATTTTATGGAATTCTGACAAGACATGTGATCTAATTTCACTGAATACAAGTTAACCATACAGGCAATGATTATTAGAATTATTTATATTATTATACTGTGCTATCTTTACCATCTTGAGTCCTGGGAAAGGTGGAACATATATACATTTCCATCACATAATTCCTTTTCATGGTAAACAAGCTTAAGAAAAGCACAAAGAATTAGAATAGTAAACAAAAGAAATTAAAGATAGAAAACAAGGAGAAAGGTATCTGCAAAACCTGGACCAAAAATGAGATTAGAACTACCTGGGGAGACTCCACCCCCCAAAAAAATTAGTACATTCACCCACTACACATACCCATCAGTTATTATTTTTAGAGGTAAGCAGTATTCTATAGAGTGCAGAAAAAGAGTTCAAATCATAAGGGGAAACATGGAAGTATGAGACAAGAAAAACTGTATCTAGTTCACACCAATATCCATAACTTTCAATAACTTCCTATCTTTGCAAATCATCCTTACTTCCACCATTTTCTTATGCTGCCTTTTATTCTTTAAATTTTTCAATTCTTTCTTCTTGAGACTCTCATCAACTCTCGCCTAACAAAATATTCTTAGTCATCTCCTTTGTCTTGGTTCATTCATTCCCCCCCCCTCATATTTGTTTACAATTCATCCCCATTTGTTTTCTCTATATTACCACCTCAATTATGTTTTTCATCCTGGTCATTCACTTTTATTATCAGCCCACATTTGTTCATCATCCAATAATTTTTGGACATGTCTCTTATTTTACTATACATGCTTCTTATGCAATATATTCTCACTCCATTCACCTGATTTTAATATTTCTCCTGCAATAACTTCCACATGAAAGGTAGATAAAATCACATTTAATTTTTAAGCATTCAATTCCTCAATGATTGCTAAAAAGTCAATATTATCTTTCCAGCTGGGGACATTAAGGCTCAAATGGGCTAATTTAAAAATGCATCCAAAATTCAGGATCCATGACTATAACAAAATTGAAATTTGGCCAATTTTATAAAACATTTTATGACAAAAAACTATCATAAAGCATTTTATGATATAATACAACATTTCATAAAACATTTTGTTGGTCAACTCCTGATGTTTTGGCAGTGCTATACAGTTCAATATGGGCTACTTTCAAGGCAGATACATTTTTAAATATTTTCCTGAATTTTTAAGAGTATTTCAAGTGCAGGTATACTTTTAATGCAGGGGTCTTCAAACGCTGGCTGAGGAATTCTGGGAGTTGCAGTCCATGAGTCATAAAAGCACAAGTTTGAAGATCCCTGCTTTAATGCCTCCCATAGATCACCTGAGACATGATGCTTTTCCACTTATTCCTTTATGTTCTTTGCAATATAGATTTGATTTTAAAAAATTATGCAGAAGAGATTTGTTTCTTACTTGTTGAAGCGCCTGAAGGGTTTCCAGAAACAGACATTGGGATAGTTTTGGCCAACGTTGATGATGCTTTACTGTCTCTACCTAAAACAAAGGTTATTATATGCACTGAGATTAACTACAAGAACAAAACTAATATTTCTACTATTTGAAATTAAATACAATTCATCAAATATTACAAGTATTACTGGGCAATGCAAATTATCACTCATATCATCAAGTGCCAAATTTTGAACTTCACTGAAATGTAACATGCTTTTCTACAGATACTGCAGAAAAGTAGGCCATCATTCAATACAAGGTTTTATGCTTAACTTAAGTTCTTTATCAGCACAATCAGCAATCAAGTCTTTCAACTGAAGAGTTAATCCATAGAGCTGATGCTTGAAATAAACTCAATATTGTTTGTTTCTACACTTAGAGTGGCATGATCAGCTTGCTGGTAGAGCAAAACAGGAAACAAAAATACTGGCTTTAGGACAATCATAATGCGAAACAGAAGGAATTAGCCTCACATTTCTCTTTCTTCTACTTCTTAAAGCAATTTTTTTTCAGCTTTCCCCCATCATTAATTATGGCTTCAAGGTGCCAGTGTACAAAAGTATACTTAATACAAGTAATGTAATATTATATTTTCTTTCTTTTCTGTTGTAGTTTTTTACTCATTTTTAAAGCACTGTAATTTTTAATATGTATTTTATGTTCTGTTTTTTTCTTCTTTTGCTGCATTTATTTAAAAAGCAATAATAATATTATTTAAAAAGCAATAAAAATTATAAAAGATAAGGCTTTTCCATAATATATTTTGCTAATTGTACCAATCCATTTCAAGTAATAGCCCTCAACAGTCGATAGTTTGGCCTCCAATGATTTTGTGTGAAAACTTTTCCTAGCAAATAAGAACTGGGTCTTTTCCATAATGTAAGCTTGGACTTCCTACTTCAAATACACTGCTATAACATGCTCTTATAGTAAGTTAGCAGCAACTATCCATAGAGGATTTTAATTAATACAATAATATCTACCACCTCCAGCTGACCCCTTTTTGTTAAATAAATAAATAAATAAATAAATAAATAAATAAATAAATAAATCAGCCAGCCAGCCAGCCAGCCAGCCAGCCAGCCAGCCAGCCAGCCAGCCAACCTTTGGAGAAAGGAAACAACCCCCCAAAAATCACAACAACTTACGCTTCTTTTCATATATTTTATCACCCATATTTGTAGATCTGCTCTCATTTTGCTGTTTCTCTTTTTCTATTTGTTCCTAGTAGGAAAACAATATAATAAAAGTGTTAATGGAAAAATGAAATCTAGATTAATGGGCTGCAACTTTTGTGCTAGCATGGTTTTATGATCTGCCTAGGTTCAAAAAACAGCCTGAAATGCTTTATGTTATCAGTGATAAAAGAATTGTTTGTTCAAAGTGTATTTTGGTGCCGAAGCTGCCAAACTCCCCTAAAAATAAAGCCATAAATATATAAATAAGCTCTCCTCTTATGCTACCACACTGTTTGGTTGCTTTCTCTCTGAGAAAAAAAAAAGACACAGCTGTAAAATTCTAGGAGAGCACCCAGATTAGGGGAAATCAATTGTTTCTCTGATTAGAATTAATTAGAATTCACTGGTACTTTGTATGATAGTCAAGTAACACCTTTTTCATGCAATAAACATACCATTTCCAAAAGAAGTTGTTCCTCTCTTTCTTTCTGCTGATCCAATAGATCATTTTCATAAAACCTCTTCTGAAACTGTTCAAATGTGAAACCAGAGGATCAGCAATCATGTTGGAAGTTTCAGCAGAGTATTACCGCTATCATTTGAGTTTATACTTACGGCATCTAAAGAGGTATCCATTCTGTCAAGTTCTAGTACCATCTATTAAAAAAGATTTAGTATTATTATAGATTTGCCATAATTGTTTTAAAAGAATCTCAAATGGTTTGGATTTCCTACTAGCAATTTTAGAAAGGACATAGACACATCCAGAGGATAAGATACCAGGCTAGCTTGGGAACCGGGATGCCTACCTACTAGAAGCCTGCATCATTCTTTAAGCAGAAGCTTACTGATCATAATATAAGAGACTTCTAATTATGGATGCTTACATTTGAACAATATATGATCCAAAATTCATTGTAACTATATATTCCTATACATTTATAGTAAGACCATTATATTTGATTTACCTCAAATATGAACAGAATTCAAAAACTTTGCAACTCATAAAATGGATTCACATATCATACTAAACCAAGCTGTTACTTGGATTTAATTGTTGCATTAAGCAAACCATGATTTTGTACAATGAAGTCTGTTATCTTAAGAATTATTATAAAAATATAAGAAAAATACTGAATGAATAAAAAAACCTCACATACTTTTTTAACAATGTTCAAGACGTCTTTATCTTTTTCCTCACATAGAAGTTTTCTTACACTCATTTCTAGCTGCTGCAGTAAATGTTTGTCTGTGGGAACCTTGAGGGTTGACTTCACTTTTGGTAATAAATAACAAAGTTTCATTCTATATAGGGAAATAATGTTTATATTTTTTTTAAAAATTGAAGATATACACAAGGTTAAAAAAAAATAAACAGAAACATGCAAACCTGAAGTGATAAATAATATTGAAGTAAATAAAGTCTATGCTCCGAAGCCCTAAAAGAAGAGTTAAAGCCCAGTAAAATGGTGGTTGCTAAAATAGACAGGACTGATAATTAGGGAAAAAAGATTATTTTGTTTGGCAGTTTGGGACAAGGAGAAGCAGAGAAGGCAATAGATAAGGTAGAGGGACAATATCAGGGAGATCACTGATCTTGAAAGAACTATATCTTATTGCAAATAATTGTCCATGCAGTCATCATGAGTTGGAGCAAAACTGATGGCACCTAACATCAACTTTTCTTGCAGTAAATGTGCAGTAAATACAAGACAGGAGTACAGTAAATACATATATTTTAAAATAGCAAGGATAATAGCATGTTGAGTATTTCAAAGGGATGGTATATATAATTTTTGAAAAACGTCTTTATCTTTTTAAACTAGTAAATTTCAAAAAATCTGTTCCCTTGGGTGTATTTTATGAATATTTATATAGTTGAATCAAATATGAAAAAGTCTACTATGTCTACTAACACTCCTCAAGGATTCTTTAAGGCCCTCATTTCCACCTGCTTTTTGTTTCTGGTAATGAAATCCCTATTATCTGACAGAAATCATTTGTTCATGTTGGCTTGATATTATCTATGGAACTGTAAAGAAGACTGTCCTGATTCTGTTATATAGAGAAATTCCTCATACTGCTGTCTATCTTTTTCATGGACCTTTAAACAATGTTATGCAAATCAGATTTTCATTATTCTACCATTTACTGTAGAGTAATTACATTTCTAAACATTTTAGAGATTTTTTAAAATTTTACTTTTATTTTAGATTTTTTTTCCACCTTTATTATTTTTACAAATAATGGGGCAAACATATCTACTTCTTCCTCCTACTACTTTCCTCAAAACAACTCTGTGACATGAGTTGGGCTGAGAGAGTGTGATTGGCTCAAAGTCACCCAGCTGGATGAACCAGATGAACTAGGGATGGATAGATTCCTTTAGGATCAAGACATTTTTCCTATTACAGAGGACAAACTTACTCTCACATCAAGTATGATTTTTAACTGCCAAACAGAATAATTTTTTCCCTAGTTATCAATCATTTTCAACACATGCTCCAAATATTTGAGTTTCTGCTTGCAGACCTCTGCCTCAATGGAACAACCTATTTTTATTTGATTCAGGACTGACCAAATCCATAATTCAAATGTGTTCATATTTTTTAGTTTGCTCTTCATCAATGTCCATTTTTCATAGATAAATATTACCATTAGAAAAAACAGCTTTAACAATTCTGATTTTTGTTATCACAGAAATATCCTCACCCTGAATTTGTCTCCATCACCACCTTCCTTCCTAAAAATAATCTTTCCTGTAGTTCTCCAGCACACACTTTTTCATTATCTCTTCTTGAGCTCAGGAAAACAATTCTATCTACCATCTTTGCTTCTTTACTGCCAATCATGAATTCACGAACCATGGCATTTAACATTGCCTTTGACTTCTTGTTTCAGCTCCCCACAAAGCTTACTGGGCCTAACTTCTTCACCACTGGACTACTGATCAGTCTCTAGATCTTTCAGTTTCCTCTTTGACCTCCATAATGCATTCTTCTACATCTGTTTTATTTTAGTATAATAAAGTGGTATCATTTGCATATTTAGTTCAACATTCTGTTTCCTCAGCGGACTTCCTAGGCTACTAACTGTATACGTCTCTAAATGAAGCTTTTTCCTCTTTCAAATCATAGGCATTCTTGTCAACTGGAGAAATTTAAGATTCGTACTCAAAAACCTAAGCCTATTGTGCAGAAACAAGTTTTGCTCCTGTCCCAATACTTTTGTTAATTACAGTGTTTTTATTTTATTCCAGAGAATTTCAGGGAAAGTGTTAAGGAATATTTCCAGTTGTATAATTGCTCTGCTACAAACTCAGCATTGTATGGGTAATTTAGATATCATTGTCTTTATATTTCAATTCTCATATGTTTTCTCATTGCTTCTTCTGCTTTCTTAACATTAAAAAAATTAAGGAAGGAAAGTCGGGATAGCTGCACTATTCTTTCCAATTAACATTACTAAGAATAAATCCATTCATTTCTCTATAAATGTTTTCTTTAGCCCTGTTCCAGTTTCTTCTTTATGCTGACAAAGCACCAAACTCAGTATGTATGTATGTATGTATGTATGTATGTATGTATGTATGTATGTATATATGGTACAAATAAAATACGAACACCAGGAGAGTATAAATATTTATATTTATATTCTCCTGGTGTTCGTATTTTATTTGTACCATAGACATGCCCAGGAGTCATATTTTTATGCAAATTTTCCAGCATACACACACACACACACACATATATATGTAGGTCTTTGGTTGTTCGGGTTTTCTCCCGCGTAAAATTGGAAGTGTCTTGACGACGTTTCGACGAAGTCCCATTCGTCATCTTCAGGCTGGTGTTTTCAGCTTCGTGCTTCGAGGAGCACGAAGCTGAAAACACCAGCCTGAAGATGACGAATGGGACTTTGTCAAAACGTCGCCAAGACACTTCCAATTTTACGCGGGAGAAAACCCGAACAACCAAAGACCTACATAAAACACCTGCGAAAACCTCAGAAAACACACACACACACACACACACACACACACACATATATATATATATATATATATATATATATATATAGAGAGAGAGAGAGAGAGAGAGAGAGAGAAGGAGGGAGGGAGGGAGAGGGAGAGAGAGAGAGAGCTAAAAATTCGACTCTTGGGAATGTCCATAATAAAACCAATAAATACCAATCACCAAGAGGAAAGTAGTAAAAATTTAATGAGCCCCAATGAAAGCTCGGCTCATTAAATTTTTACTACTTTCCTCTTGGTAATTAATATATAGAACGAGATACAAATCTCATTCATTAATATATAGAATGAGATACAAATCTACAGAGTTCTAATATATCAATTCTATTTCAGAAAAAAAGGCAATCTGCATTAAATGGCAACACAAAGCCATCTGAATAAATCAAAGTGTTTTATTAATTTAATATAACTTGTACGGTACCTCACATTTGCTACTGGATCATGTGTAAGTTCAAGCACAGGAAGAAAGAAGTATTCACAGAAAAATGATTTGGAAAAGAGTTCTATGATGAATTCACAGGTATCTAAAAAACGTAATCTGTTCCAATAGCTTTTTCCTTGGCCCAGTTCTGGAGAACAAAATATTAACACTGATAGGTTATTATTTTGATAGAAGAAATGAATGAAAATCCAGTGCTTAATTATCCCAAAAATACTTGTTAACATTCTCAAATATAATGTAATAGTTCTCAATCAGTTCATTAGAATAATTATAAAATATGCTTTAGGTAATTTTTATAATGTTCTAATTGTATAGCTAAGAAGTAGAAAAGTCCACCAACAGTCGTGTAGGATGGCTCTACTACTGGAGCAACTCCCCACATTAGCATTCCAATTTCTTTCTGCCTATGCTCTCTACCTTACAGAATACCTGTTAAATACTGGTATTTAAATTTGACATTCTTATTGGCGTACTGGAAATGGTGCTGCATCTTTTTAAAGATTATCATGAATATGAGTTGCCATGGTAAACTTGCATACAAATATTTGAAGCTAATGCAGCTGAAATCTTTATAGTGGAAAACATCTAGTCTATGGTTAAAAATGGAGGCCTTCCCGTCTTATACACAACAGCCTTGATTTTGACTAAAATTCCATTAACTTCCTCATGATAAAGAGGACATCAAGACTTACGTTCAATCAATTTCTGGATGACCTCATATCTCTGTTCTTGCTTACGATTATATCGTAAGTATATACACAGTGTTCGAGCAGCTGCTCTTTGGACAGGTAGGACATTCTTCAAGAGAGAAAAAATATATTTCATTCTACAAGAGATTATATATAAGTAATCAAGCATACAATTTGTTCATTGGCAGGGAAAGAATAGTTGAAGGTAAAAAGACAAAATAATAAAGCATCAATAAATGATAAAGAAATGAGGTTGAAATAAATTCAACTTAAGGTTGGTCTTCAAAATTTGAAGTATGAACTTTATTTTTTAAAGCGGTATGAAGTCAGACTATTAATTAATAAATCATTTAACAGCTAGTCTAGTTTTTACTGAATATATTGTCTTTTGGTGCTTGTTTTATATCTTTCACCAGGAAACATGTTCTAAGATCACTTAATTTTTCCTACAAGAAGATCATCCCAGGAGGAGAAAAAACAAGTGTGTTTTTATTCTGCTAATGAACACCTAAACCAAATTATGGGCCAGTGATGGGGAGAACACATTATGCATACGCAAAAGTCATATTTTACTTGTTATTGAAATGCCAGGATTTGTAGATAAGCAAACTGTATGTGAGTTTTTGAATGTGGAATGTGTAACAAGCAGTAAAAGGAGATATATATATTTTATGTCTTGATTTGGCTTCTTTTTAAATCAGCATATTTAGATGCAAATTTGAAAGGGTTTTTTTTGCTTTGTTTTGTTACCCTGGGTTTAGATGATATTCTATATTCATGGAACAGCTGACATTTTTATATTTAATTTTGTAAAATTAATTGGATTATTCAGTAGTTAAAAATAAATACATTTCAGCTCAATAAGAAGCATCTATTAAGTTTCAGGGCAGAAATTTGCTTGCCTCCTTATAATTTATTTAACTGGGTTTGTATACCATGGCAAGCAGAATTGACTATAAGTGCATATTTGCCCTCCGTAAATTGGGATAAAAATGAAGCTAAGACACAGATCATACAAAATATAATCAATAAAAATGTATATACATAATCATGGGAGTAAAATGCAATTGATTAGAATTATTTCCACTGTTAGAGAGACAAGCAAATCATTCAGACTCCGGGGCCTACTTGAACAGCCGCCTTAATAAACCATCTAAATATTAAAAGGGAAGGGACCATAAAGAAGTTGTGGGAAATGTTCTCCCAAATGACAAGGGGGAGCAATAAAGCAAGTGTGTTTCTGCAAAACCCGCAGCTGACAGTCCCCAAGACAGGCAACATGAAGAAACCCTACTCTACTTAATCTTATCAGGTGGGCAGATATATTAGAAGAAGGTGGTCGCATAGATATCCAGGTATGAACTATGAAGATTTTTAAAGGTGACAGTGAGCATCTTGAATTACAATCAGAAGTCAACTGATAACCAGTGCAGCTTTCTAAGTAACAGCGTTATGTGGCTCCATTAGGTGCACCCAAGTGTTAAATCACTGCATTCTGTACTAAGTCTAGGTTCCAAATGCTCTTCATGGTTATCCCAACATAAAGCACATTACAACAGTCCAAACAAGAGGTGATTAAGGCATGAGTGACTTGTGAATAAAGCTCCCATCCAAGAGTAGTCATAATTGGCACACAAGATGAAACTGTGCAAAGGCTCTCCTGACCGCAGTCGCCACCTACTTCTAAAGTAGGAGTTGTGAGTCCAGGAGGATTCTCAAATTATGAGCCAGTTCAATAAAGGGAATGTGATCCCAATCAGAATTAAAGGTAGAATCTCCCTGGATTGGATGGTTTACAAACACAGAGACACTCCGTACTGGGATTAAGCCTCAACTTGTTCCTGCATAACTAGACTTGAACAGCCTGTTGTCATCTCAATAGCACTTCAAAACCATCACCTTTTTAACTTAAGTTGAGATGTAAAGTTAAGCATCATAACATACTAACGATACCTAACTTATGTTGGCAAATGTCACCAGCCAGTGGCTTCCTATATATTTTAAAAAGGGGTGGGGAGAAAGGCAAGCTTTGCAACATACCACCTTTGAGAAACCTGGAACTTGATCTCTCCCCACCCCATTACAACCAAATGAAACCACCCCAATAAGATCAGAACACTCTGAAAAGGGCCTTTGGACAGCAGTCTGTGAATTCAGAAAAATATTGGTATTTATTTGAGAAACTTGGAGATAATAATAATAAAATATATACATATTTATTCATAATTAGAATGCATACTTATTTTTGCTTTGCAATCTTGCAGTTATGTCTGTAAATATTATTTCTTATGTTGATTTTAAAATTCAAATCATAATCTCACATACATACACAATATATACTATACATATTAAAAGCTATGCATGATTCAAAAATGATTATAAGAAATAATAATTGGGACTTCTGCTTCCGGATCAGGCAGCTTCAGCCATACGAAGAGCTGTTGCTCTTCGTTGGCTTCCTTTCTCTCTACCGGTAGACCCTTATGCGGGTCTTAAATTGCCCTGGAGGGGCGACTACCGTCAAGGAGGCTTTTGCTCAGCTAAGGTGGAGTGGCGGCTCCCCCATAGTCCGAGCTAACTCTGTAGGGCCGATGGAGAAGAAGATCGGTCAGTAAAATGGCAGATCACCTCGCTGTGCCAGCTGAAGTCAGAAAACCATCTAAGCATAAAGAACCACCATGGTGAATCCGGGTGAGACCTTTCCTCCCTCTCTCCGTCCTGAATTATTTTTCCTTCTACTTTTTTTTTTTTTTCCCTGTAAGAGCCCTATTGGAATTATTTCCCTGGCTTCGAAAAACAGCTTCTACTTGTTTGGGAAGGAAGGCATGAACAAAAGAATATAACAAAATTTTAAAGACTACATTTTTTATATACATGTTTTGGGGTACCGAAAATTTTTTTTTTCTTAAGAGCTGTATTATCAGTTTATGCTGTTTTTTTTCTTGCTGAGTGCTATTACTATCTTATATTGGAAGAGTATTTCTTTTCTCCACTTTTTCCTTAAAAAATAGAAAGGGGGGGGGGGAAATGGCTCTTGAAAAAGATTTTTTAGCTTACTGAGGACATCTACTGGCCAAAAAACTAATATTGTAATTGTTGACTATTTGGAGATGAGAGGTTTTTTTCAAACTGTTTGCTTTTTTGAGAGAAAGATAACCTGATCCAGCTGAATAACTTTTAAAATAGAGCTGCATTCACACTTAAAGTGTAAACTTATTCTGGAAAAGATTTATGAGGCTAAAGAAGAAATATGTGCTACAATGAAAGAGTTTACTACAGAATTAAGAGCCAGAATCTCTCCTTTAAACTTCAAAATTGATTCTCAAACTACTTCTGATTATTCTATAAAACAGACTACACAAGAAGAGGACTTAACTGAGAATAAAGAGAAATTGACTTTGCCTTATAAGCAGTTCACCTATGGTTTTGAGGACCAGGAAAAGCAAAGACTGAGATTTGAAATGTCAAAGCAACGAAATTTTATGGTTAAAAGAAACAGAGGGCCAATGCAAAGGCCAAGATGGTTTACATGGATTCAAATGATACTACAAGCGATAAAGAGAGACTTATCAGTTGAAAGGGAAGCTCTGTTATAGAAACCTACCTGGCAGAAGAAGAAGCCCAGAATAAGACTGAAAAGAAGTGAATATTAAAAATTTTATGTAATGAATTAAAGGCAATTTAGAATTATGGACTGATTTAAGGACTAAGATTATGAGCGAGATGTAAGATAAATGGGCGATTAATGGAAGATATGTATTAAATTGACTAAGAATGTACTTTATGGATTACTGCCTTGTCGTGGCGAAGGGGCTTGCGTAACTCAATGAAGCTATAAGCTATGCCGTGCAGGGCCACCCAAGACGGACAGGTTATAGCAGAGAGTTCTGACAAAATGTGATCCACTGGAGAAGGAAATGGCAAACCACTCCAGTATCTTTGCCATGAAAACCCCATGGACAGTACTAAAAGGAAAAAAGATATGACGCTGGAAGATGAGCCCCTCAGGTCGGAAGGTGTCCAATATGCTACTGGGGAAGAGCAGAGGGCTAGTACTAGTAGCGCCAGAAAGAATGAAGCGACTGGGCCAAAGCCGAAAGGATGCTCAGCTGTGGATATATCTGGTGGTGAAAGGAAAGTCCGATGCTGTAAAGATTTTTTCTCCATAGGAACCTGGAATGTAAGATCCATGAATCAAGGCAAGCTAGACGTAGTCAAAAAAGAGATGACAAGACTGAACATCGACATCTTAGGAATCAGCGAACTAAAATGGACAGGAATGGGTGAATTTAACTCAGATGACCATCAGGTATACTACTGTGGGCAAGAATCCCTCAGAAGAAATGGAGTAGCCTTCATAGTCAATAAAAGAATAGGAAAAGCAATACTGGGATACAATCCCCAAAATGACAGAATGATCTCAATTCGAATCCAAGGCAAACCATTCAATATCACAGTAGTCCAAATCTATGCCCCAACCACTGGTGCTGAAGAGGATGAAATGACCGGTTCTATGAAGCCCTACAGCACCTTATAGAATTAACACCAAAAAATGATGTCCTTATCATCATGGGGGATTGGAATGCTAAGGTAGGAAGCCAAAAGATAACCGGAATAACAGGCAAGTTTGGCCTTGGAGTACAAAATGAAGCAGGGCACAGGCTAATAGAATTTTGTCAAGAGAATACGATGGTCATAACAAACACTCTTTTCCAACAACCCAAGAGACGGCTCTACCAGACGGTCAACATAGAAATCAGATTGACTATGTGCTCTGCAGCCAAAGATGGAGAAGCTCTATACAGTCAGTAAAAACAAGACCAGGAGCTGACTATTGCAAAATTTAGGCTTAAATTGAAAAAAGTAGGGAAAAGCACTAGGCCACTCAGGTATGAACTAAACCATATTCCTGATGAATATACAGTAGAGGTGACAAATAGATTTAAGGAACTGGATCTTATAGACAGAGTGCCTGAAGAACTATGGATCGAAGTTCGCAACATTGTACAAGAGGTAGCAACTAAAACCATCCCAAAGAAAAAGAAATGCAAGAAAGCAAAATGGCTTTCTGAGGAAGCTTTGCAAATAGCTGAGGAAAGAAGGGAAGTGAAAGGCAAAGGAGAAAGAGAAAGATACACCCAATTGAATGCAGAATTCCAGAGAGTAGCTAGAAGAGATAAGAATGCCTTCTTAAATGAACAGTGCAACGAAATAGAAGAAAACAACAGAATAGGGAGGACCAGAGATCTCTTCAAGAAAATTGGAGATATGAAGGGAACATTTCATGCAAAGATTGGCATGATAAAGGACCAAAATGGCAGGAACCTAACAGAGGCAGAAGAGATTAAGAAGAGATGGCAAAACTACACAGAAGAACTATACAAGAATGAGCTTAACATCCCAGATGACCACAATGAGATGGTCATTGACCTCGAACCAGACATCCTAGAATGTGAAGTGAAATGGGCCTTAGAAAATCTGAGCAACAACAAAGCTAGTGGAGGTGACAGTATTCCAGCTGAGCTATTCAAAATCTTAAAAGACGATGCATTAAAAGTGCTACACTCAATTTGCCAGCAAATTTGGAAAACTCAACAGTGGCCACAGGATTGGAAAAGGTCAGTTTACATTCCAATTCCAAAGAAAGGCAATGCCAAAGAATGTTCAAACTATCGCACCATTGCAGTCATTTCACATGGTAGTAAAGTTGTGCTTAAAATCCTACAAGCTAGACTCCAGCAGTATGTGGATCGAGAACTACCAGAAGTACAGGGAGGATTTCGAAGAGGCAGAGGAACTAGAGATCAAATTGCCAACATACGCTGGATCATGGAGAAAGCTAGGGAGTTCCAGAAAAATATCTACTTCTGCTTCATTGACTATGCAAAAGCCTTTGATTGTGTGGATCACAACAAATTGTGGCAAGTTCTTAAAGAGATGGGAGTACCAGACCAGCTCATTTGTCTCTTGAGAAACCTATATGCGGGTCAAGAAGCAACAGTGAGAACTGGACACGGAACCACTGATTGGTTCAAAATTGGAAAAGGAGTCCGGCAAGGCTGTATACTGTCGCCCTGCCTATTTAACTTATATGCAGAGCACATCATGAGAAAGGCAGGGCTAGATGAATCAAAAGTTGAAATTAAGATTGCCGGGAGAAATATCAACAACCTAAGATATGCAGATGATACCACTCTAATGGCAGAAAGTGAAGAGGAACTAAAGAGCCTCTTGATGCGGGTGAAGAAGGAGAGTGCCAAAGTTGGCTTGAAACTCAACATTAAGAAAACCAAAATCATGGCATCCTGCCCTCTCAATTCCTGGCAAATAGATGGGGAAGAAATGGAGGTAGTGACAGATTTTATTTTTCTGGGCTCAAAGATCACCTCAGATGGGGACTGCAGCCAAGAAATTAAAAGACGCTTGCTCCTGGGGAGGAAATCTATGGCAAATCTAGACAGCATTCTAAAAAGCAGAGACATCACCCTGCCAACAAAAGTGCGTATAGTCCAGGCCATGGTTTTCCCAGTTGCAATGTATGGCTGTGAAAGTTGGATCATAAGAAAGGCTGAGCGCCAAAGAATTGAGGCCTTTGAACTATGGTGCTGGAGAAGACTCCTGCGAGTCCCTTGGACTGCAAGGCGTTCAAACCGGTCAGTCCTAGAAGAGATCAACCCCGACTGCTCTTTAGAAGGCCAGATCCTGAAGTTGAAACTCAAGTACTTTGGCCACCTAATGAGAAGGAAGGATTCACTGGAGAAGAGCCTAATGCTGGGAAAGATTGAGGGCAATAGAAGAAGGAGACGACAGAGAATGAGATGGCTGGATGGAGTCACTGAAGCAGTAGGTGTGAATTTAAATGGACTCCAGAAGATGGTAGAGGACAGGAAGACCTGGAGGAACGTTGTCCATGGGATCGCGATGGGTCGAACACGACTTCACAATTAACAACAAGAATGTACTTTTTGAATTGATGGGTTTATCGATATGAAAATTATTATTTTTAATAAGGTGATTCATTTGTTTGATGTCTAATGGATTGAAATGATTTAAGGTTTGATATTATCTTTTAAGCTTAAAAAGTAAGAGAAAAAGGGGTGATTAATGGAATATATATATTAAATTGATTAAGAATGTGGTTTTTTAATTTTTTTTTAGAATGATAGGTTTATTTGTAAGAAAATTATTATGTAATGTTGAATTAACCTAATAAGATGATCTGTTTGTTTGATAACATGGATGTGATTAGTTATGAAAATTAACTGGATGAAATTTGAATTTTGTCAAATGGATTGAAATGATTTAAGGTTGGACTTTATTTTGTCACTTTAAAGAGATTGATTGATGGATGGATTAGATACGTATAGGATAGATTAATATTTTATTTTAAATAAGGGATATTAGTGGAAGAAGAAGTAAATAAGATCTATGATAAAATTAAGGAATTAGAATATATTTGGAAGGGATACCCGAACTGATAAGGTTTGTACTTAAAGTTATTTTGATTATGGTAGTGTAAATTTATAAAGCTTCAAAAACAGGTTTAGGTTGAATAAATTTAAGCTAGAATTGGGTTATTTTAAATAAAATACGTTACTTAAGGGAAAAAAGAGGGAATATTTGATGTATTGATTGAATTATGTATATATGTTTTGTTTGCTGATGTTTGACTACCCTAACGCCACGATGTGTCTTGAGTGCTTTGTTTTAAAAATCAAAAAACCAATAAAACTTGTCTTAAAAAAAAGAAATAATAACCGGAACTGACAGGAGGAAATAATACATATATTATATATCATTTATATATGTTATATATGCATATTTGGAACCATTTTGAGCTTTCTCTATTGGGTTAGTCTGCTCAGAAAAAGGCAAATGTTTTTATTAGTTTCTGGCAGACTAGCCAAAAACAATACAGACTAGTATATTTTGCAAAAAGAAAAAAAAAGAGTAGCAAAGGTAGCAATTTCAGCTTCATTATCATGAAAAATTGATGTACTTTTGCACTAAATCTGTGCATTTTTAAAAGGATTTTTATTATCTATTTGTTTGTTTATTGGACTTTCAGTAAATATGGCCAACTGACCAGTTCAGAAAGCTCTTTCTGGACTGAAGCTTTTTCAATTTACAAATAAGTTTATAAAACTCTCCTGGGTTAGGGAGAGTCCCAGAATCATCCCATATCCACCTTGTGTTCCGCAAGGAGACTCTGGATGATGCTCCAGAACAGCTTCTGTCTGTACATCAATCCCCAGAATTATTTTTGTGGACTAATTTATAAAGTCACAATGTATTCCTTACATTTCTCACTGATATTGGATTGGAAACAAAACAGCTTATTCTGCACACAAAAGGGCTTCCATCATCTATTGCTACCAATTATTTTAGAGCCCTTCCAAACAGCTTTCCTGATATCTACAGCAAGACAAAGATGGAAACTGAAAAAGAAGAGGTCTTGCTCTTCATATTCCCTCACAATGATTCAGTCTATCAGAGTATGTAAACAAGCATTCTACCATCCCAAAATTCTCCTCCAAGTCTGACGTGCAACATTTAGGCATGCATATATATATATATATATATATATATATATATATATATATATATATATATATATATATGCATTCTGATGATAAGAAGTATCAAAATACTGTTGATACATTATAACAAATTAAAACTGAATTGCACTGGTATTTTTTAAAACACTAGTTTTGATTTGAGAATAGGAATAATTTTGATTCAGGATTAACAACCACATAAATATTTTTTCAACTGAAATATATTTTTTTTTCCATGATCTTCTAAATAGCTTCTAAACTTGAAAGTGTGGATTCTCATAGTCTAGATTGAAGCCGGACAACCTTCCCAAATTCTTTTTGTCGCAAGTAAAGAAATCCAATTCTATATACAAATATGGTTAGAATATATAAGGATTCATACTGTTTTTCATTAATTAAGTTTCAGTTTTGGAATTTGCAATCCTCACTTATTTGGAACATAAGATGGAAACAAGCAAACCAAAACAATTGAAAGTTACAGGTATTCAATTTAAACAACACTGGCTTTTCATTAAAAATACAAATTAAAATAAAAAGTTCTAGTTTGCTTGTTGCTGATATATTTGTCTCAACATAGATTTATTTCAGTAGCACTGTATATATTTAATCTCTTGAAAAATATTTAAGACAATTTCATATACTTCAGAAAGAAATACACAGAGAAGGATCATTGAGAACTCACATTTGTCATAATGATTGTCAGCATTCTGTGCAAAAATCGGTAATAAATCTGATCACTTGAGATGACATGAGGCAAACAGGCATACTTTTGTAATAGCTTCTCATGTGTCCTCCATTTTAAAGAGGTTGCTGCCCTCTGTTCAGCTCTTGTTAGTGCTGGAATTAACTCTGGAAAATTTAAAAGCTGAAAAGGGAAAGATATATTATACATATTAAATCAGAATTGCCAAAACACAGTAGCACATACTACACATGGTTATGTTACAAGTTCCCAACCAACCAATATTCACATCACTGAATGCTGTACCAAAGTTTTCAAATTATCTTTGAAACTTACATAAAATGCATAAAGTCAAACTCTGATTTAATTAACATGTGAGTTATTGATCCTAAACTGTAAACTGGTGTTTCTGGTCACTTCTGCTACCTATAATGTGCAGGAGAATGCTAGAGCCTCAAAACCTCAGGAACTAGTCCATCCATATTTTCCTATATAGCTTTTTCTAGTTCACGATACATTTATTTATAATTATCAAGGGAATACCAATAAAAAACTACTAACAGGGATTACTACTAGAAGAGATTACTGTTTTTAATTCTTGTTTATTTCTCTCCCTTCCCACTTTCATTGTTCTAAAATATATTTTGTTTTCTCTAATTCCTCCAAGATATTAAGAGGATCTGTCCTGGAAGACATACAGACTATTAAAGCTTTCCCCACAACACTGAAAATATGATACTCAAGGTTTACTCTCCCTCTGCAGTAACCTAATCACAGCCTCACAAATGAAAGCAAAATAGTAACAACTTTCAGGTGCTTTCAGGGTGAGAAAAATGATTGTACTTAGATAAGATTAAGATTGTAAAATAAGATTAGATAAGACCCCACCTCTATCCTTTGCATGTCTTGCTTGCTTCCTTCCTCATCATTTTGTTTAATTTTAATTCAAATGCAATGTCTCTAAACATTTGTTTTAATGTTTTATATTGGTATTTTTCCTGATTGATTGTAAGCCATGTAAAATCGCCTTGGCAAGATGGGTGATCTATAATTTTAATAAATAGTGGACTTTGTTGTTTAAAATATGATTCTGCTGGCAGACTCATCTACTTTACCTTGTTCTCTGATCCACTGTTTTCTCCTCCAGTAGACAGAAGTTCGAGAATTTCAGGAAGGTGATTTATTAATGCATCTATCACCTAATTAAAAGAGAATGTAGTATTTACATTTCCAAAACCTATCTATGTACCTACCTAGCTCATCTGAGTACAGAACAGTAGACAGAGGAAAGTATCCTGATCTAACAGCCTGCAGAAGGCAAAGTTAATGCTGTATGAAGAAGCAAGTTGCAGACAGCAAAGAATATGAATTTGATGGAGAGAGGGCAGATCAGTTAACAAAACAATAAAAAGGAAACTACTGCTTGAATCCAAATGATAGGAGAAGACCATGAAATCACCTCAGACAGACACTCTCCTAATTTATGTGAATATAAAAAAGGGAGGAGGGCAAGCACAAACATGGTATTGTTGTTGTTAGTTGCAAAGTCATGTCCGACCCATCGCGACCCCATGGACAATGTTCCTCCAGGCCTTCCTGTCCTCTACCATCTTCTGGAGTACATTTAAGCTCACGCCTACTGCTTCAGTGACTCCATCCAGCCACCTCATTCTCTGCCGTCCCCTTCTTCTATTGCCCTCAATCTTTCCCAGCATCAGGTTGGGACTCCAGTGAGTCCTTCCTTCTCATTAGGTGGCCAAAGTACTTAAGTTTCAACTTCAGGATCTGGCCTTCTAAAGAGAAGTCAGGGTTGATCTCCTCTAGGACTGACCGGTTTGATCGCCTTGCAGTCCAAGGGACTCGCAGGAGTCTTCTCCAGCACCATAGTTCAAAGGCCTCAATTCTTTTGTGCTCAGCCTTTCTTATGGTCCAACTTTCACAGCCATACATTGCAACTGGGAAAACCATGGTCTGGACTATACATACTTTTGTTGGCAGGGTGATGTCTCTGCTTTTTAGTATGCTGTCTAGATTTGCCATAGCTTTCCTCCCCAGGAGCAAGCGTCTTTTAATTTCTTGGCTGCAGTCCCCATCTGAGGTGATCTTGGAGCCCAGGAAGATAAAATAAGTCACGACCTCCATTTCTTCCCCATCTATTTGCCAGGAATTGAGAGGGCCGGATGCCATGATCTTGGTTTTTTTTAATGTTGAGTTTAAAGCCAACTTTTGCACTCTCCTTCTTCACCCACATCAAGAGGCTCTTTAGTTTCTCTTCACTTTCTGCCTTTAGAGTAGTATCATCTGCATTATTTTAGGTTGTTGATATTTCTCCCGGCAATCTTAATTCCAACTTTTGATTCATCTAGCCCTGCCTTTCTCATGATGTGCTCTGCATATAAGTTAAATAGGGAGGGCGACAGAATACAGCCTTGCTGGACTCCTTTCCCAATTTTGAACCAATCAGTGGTTCCGTGTCCAGTTCTCATTGTTGCTTCTTGATCCGCATATAGGTTTCTCAAGAGACAAATGAGATGGTCTGGTACTCCCATCTCTTTAAGAACTTGCCACAATTTGTTGTGATCCACACAATCAAAAGTTTTAGCATAGTCAATGAAGCAGAAGTAGATGTTTTTCTGGAACTCCCTAGCTTTCTCCATGATCCAGCGTATGTACCACCCAAACGTGGTACTATAGCCAACTGAAACAAAATTATTTCTTAGTCTTCCATGGGGTCTATTTCTTGGCCTGGTCTGCTCCTCACAGGCCTAACAAAGAGTATTTGGAACCTTCCATTGTTGCAGAAATACCCATTCTTAAGCAATGTACTATCATATGAATTTAGGTATCAGTTCATCTCTAAAATGCCTTGCAGCAGTGCCATACAGTTCCAAGTATTGGACCAGCTGACCAATCACCACTAGTCAGAGTATTTATCTATCATAAATTCCCACTTAAAACTGGGAGAGAATTTTCCATTCAAGAAACATAGTTCTTTAAACACACAGAGTGACTTATCTATTCACCGCTTCATCTAATCTCTTTCTTTCTGATTTACCATATATGCCGGCGTATAAGGCGACTTTCGCAAGCATTAAAATCGGCGCCAAAGACGGGGGTCGTCTTATACGCCGAGTCGTCTTATGCGGCGGAAATACTGGTAGTTTCCGGCGTATAAGACGACGTTCTAGGAATGCGACTCGGCGCCAAAGACGGGGATCATCTTATATGCCGGGTCGCCTTGTACGCCGGCATATACGGTAAGCCACACTTCTGCAATATTCATCAAAGAAGACAAGTTTAAGAGGAAATATTATAGTACTCCAATATAGTTGTTCTGCTTTCCAGCATTTAAAAATATTAGAAATTACTTCCTTTTTGTTTTCCTAGTCAGAATATTCCCAATCCATTTCCTAGCCTAAATATTGTATGTCTTCCTTGTATAACTTTGTCTTCTATTGTCAACCCATACATTCTGATTTAACAATATAATTTCTGGAGCAAAACTGAACATATACTAAAGGGACTCTTACTTAGCACCAATTAGACTGATTAAACCTAAGGCATATCAAACTGGAGTGAGATCAAACTATTATATATGCCTCTGAATAGTGATTTATTTTGCAAATTCAATTTTAGGCATTTTCTATTTCTTCTGGGAAAGTGTTATAAGAATTATCACATACCACTTTCATATCACTTTATAGTGACAACATTCTCTGTCCCTTATGTTTAGGATCATGAGATAAACAGCTATGATTCATCCTATGTTTTGACCCATTAAGAATTCCTTCCTTTAATAAATATAATTTGGAATAATTGTGAATTATCAAATATAAAGAGCAAACAGATCATTACCTCTATTGATTCATCCTGCAATAGGGCTATCAATTCTTTATGTATTACATACACATCAGTATTTAAAAGCTTAGCAACCTGGAAAATTACAAAACAATATACAGATATTAGTCCTTTTAATCTATGTTTTATTTTTTAAAACAAAGTTTGAATAGTATCTTGAATAGAAAACTAAGGTATAGACTAAACCTAAAATGCCAGTAGCTATACTTTAAGACTGTTGATTGTCCTTTCCTTACTATTTGTAATATAGTATTATGCTGATGAAAACATTGAAAAAAGTATGTAGTAGCAACTGTGTTCTTTGACAATAACCTCTCGGAAAAAAGTTTGCTAGTTTATATAATCCAAATATACTTTGAAATTTTGCAAACATTTTGCCATGTACTTCCTACTAATGTAAAACACAGTTGATCAGATTCTAATTCCCAAATGTATTAAATATTATTCTGTCTTCTGATATTGACAAAATAGAGAAAAAAATGAACATTATCCATTTTTTTCTAAGAGTCCAAGAAGAAACAAATACTTCATTAAGAAAGGGAATAGTCTTATATGTCTTGAAGATAGCAGTTTGTGGAAAAATTACTAAAGAATGCATTCTGTATTATGCTATTGTGTAATAACAAACCTTCCTTCTTTGGTTAAAGTATTTAAGTAAGTGGCAAATTGCTCAAGACTGACACAGATTACTTACATCCACTTCAGATCAATTAATGCACTAGGTCTGAAACTAAAACATTCCTTATCAAAATGCTTGACTGACAGGAGAATTGTATAACTGAAATTCTGTTAACTCTCCTAGAGCTCTCAACAGTTTTCAAGTTTAATTGCTTTATATGGTTTTATTCCTTCCCAATAGATAATTTTCAGTAGTAAAGCTGAGGCTCTACTGTGGGGATATATCTGGACTATGTTGCCATCAATGAGCTAATTCCTTCTCAGAGGGTGAAAGGTAGTGAAAGTTCTGGACAGGTTTCTGAAGTCAGCAAACTGCAATTTTGCAATTTCATTGACAGCGGAAGTGCGGTTAAATCTTTCTGAGTTGCTATTTTCTTCACAGATATAAGTAACCAATAAACAACCGATATACATTGAGAGGATAGTGGGTGGAGTGCTTAGGATTCTCCTAATGGTATCTTTTCACAGAGCAATCAACACAATGAAAAAAATAATAATTGAAATTTTATATTCAGGTTGTAAAGCCATTTCAGAAAGTTTAGCTAAAATGGCCCGACACCAATAAAATGTAGAAACTCTATTTTATCTTTAGGTGAAATTAATAGAATTTACTGTATGGCTATAGCTATGTTTATTCAGAGGTATGTTTATAACTGTTCTGATTTGTAAACCTTTACACAAATCAATCAAGGTGCTAAAATATTATTACAGAACAAGTGCTTGAAAGCAGTGGAATAAAGTATATATTAAAACAATAAGAGATTAAAAAAAATTGTAATTCGTATTCTTATAACCTCTAGATTGGATCACTGCAATGCACTCTATCTGGGACTGCCCCTGAAGATTATCTGGAAACTGCAATTGGTTCAGAAAGTCAATTTAGTAGTATGGTACTTATATTATGGGTGCTGCACTGGCTTTGAAAAGTGTTATTCAAGATGCTGATATTTACTTTTTTATTTATATACCACTGAAGGCAATTTATATTAATTAAAATATTAAAAACAATTAAAACACAAATATAATCCAAAAAGAAGAATCCAAATAACAAACAATAATCAAAATACATGTCTGGCAATGCCAGGACATCATTGGATAACTTCAGCTTCCAAATATTCCATGAAATAACTCTTGTACGAGGGCAATTCGGAAATAAAACTCCGTTTGAGCTTGTGTAAGAAATAGGCGGGGATAGCGATGCCCGTCCTGTGGCACCATGTGCAATAGTTCAGTAGGCAGTGAGGAGTGGAAGGAGACGGTTGTGTTGCATTTGACTCGTCTGCTAGATCAATTTAAAATGAACCCTGCCATAGAAAGTCCCACCAAATGTGAAGTGCGTGCAGTAATACTATTCCTATGTGCGAAAAAACCTTTCAGCAGCTGCGATTCATTGCGAACTGTGTAACGTTTATGGACCAAGCATGATGAGTGAAGGTGTCATACATCAATGGTGTCACATGTTTAAAGATGATGAACTGACGTGCACAATGAGGCAAGAAGTGGCCACCCATCTGTAGTCAGCAATGAACTCATGCAGGAAATTGACAAAAAGGTCTGTGAAGTCCGTCAGTTCACAATATCTGCACTTTCTTTACACTTTCCACAAATTTCTTGAACTGTTTTGTACGAGGTAGTGACAGAAAATTTGGGATACAGGTTCTGTGCTCATTGGGTAACAAAATTCCTTTCTGAGGAACACAAAACACACCAAATGGGTTCTGCTTTGGACTTTCTCATACGTTATGCCGAGGAAGGAGAACAATTTCTTAATTGTGACTGGCGATGAGACCTGGGTATCGAACGTGAACCCTGAAAGCCAACAGCAATCAATGATGTGATGTCATACGCGCTCACCAAAGAAATTCAAAAAAGCTCGGCAAACATTGTCTACCAAAAAAGTTATGGCAACAATATTCTGGAATGCCAAAGGAGTACTGCTAATGAGGTTAATGGAGTGTAGTTCAACCATCAATTCAGAAATCTACTGTGAAATGTTACGAAAACTCAGACAAGCCATCCATAACAAGCGTCGGGGCATGCTGTCTTCCAGTGTGGTGTTGGTTCAGGATAATGCTCACCCACACACTGCTAGACACTGAAGAACTTTTGAAGCAGTTCCATTGGGATATTTTTGATCCCCCCCCCATAGCCCAGATTTAGTGCTATCACCTCTTCAGGCACATGAAAACAGTGGCTTGTGTCGCACCTTTTCAATGATAATGCACTTCACGATGCTGTTACAGGATGGGAGATTTTTTTGCAGAAGAAATTTCAAACCTTGTAAGACCTTATGACAAGTGCCTCAATTTGAATGGTGATTATGTCGAAAAGTAATGTAATGTTGTAGTTTTCTAATGTGTATAATAAAAGTTCTGTATCTGCGAGTGTCTATCATTGATAACCAAACAGAGGTTTATTTCGAAATTGCCCTCGTATTAATTGGTTTTAAAAAGTCAGAGTTGCAGTAAGAGATTGTTATACAAAGTGGGACCATCACCATTCCCAATCTCACCTTTTGTGAGTTTCCTTCAACATTTCAACAGGAATGGACAAATTAGATACAGAAAAGAACAGAACAACTAGAAGGTCTTGGAGGTCTTCTAGTCCAACCCCCTGTACAATCAAGAGACCCTATACTATTCAAGACAAAGGGTTGTCCAGGCTTTTCTTAAAAGCCTCCAGTGATGGAGGACCCACAACCATTCTGCTGGTTAATTTTTCTCACTATTCCGTAGTTCTCCTTAGTTCTAAGTTGCTTTTCTCCTTGATTAGTTTCCATCTATTTTTCTTGTCTTGACTTCTGGTGCTTTAGAAAATAGGTTGATCCCCTCTTCTTTCTGGCAGCCCTTCAAATATTGGAACACTGTTATCAGTTGGTTCTACCCAGAGAAGATGTTCTTCAATTAGCTAGAAGCCATTTCTTTAAAAATAAAAACCAAACATCTTGTATTTTGAAATCTCCTGGAAACCAATGAAGTACCTACAATATTCAGTCACATGGCTGTAATGGCTGTCATCCATCACTATGTGCTGTCACATTCTATATTGATTGTTTTTAGATAGCATTCAGGGACACTCCTGGAATAGAGGCAATTAGGCAAACTTCTCCTGGAAGAGAGTTCCATAACCGAGATACTACTACTAAATTACTGCAGCCATAGAACTGTTTTAAATAAATAAATAAAATCAAAATGACTATAGGTAGTGCCTTGAAACTGATCTTAGATTGTATACTCAATCTAAGAGGTTCTAAGGCAGTGGTTCTCAACCTGTGGGTCGGGACCCCATTTGGGGTCGAACGACCATTTCACGGGGGTCGCCAAACCACGTTGTCCACCATTTTTTTCCCTTTTCCCTAGCTGACATACTCCCTATTATTGGTGGCCACACCCACTTGGGGGTCACCACAACATGGAGAACTGTATTATGGGGTCACGGCATTAGAAAGGTTGAGAACCACTGTTCTAAGGGGAGGCAATCTTTTATGAAGTACTTTTAATGTTAAAATGTGATATTTTAGATAATTATAAACATGTCAAAATAAGATCCAATATTTAAAATAAGCCAAACAGTGTTTCCATAACATACATTTCCTGACTTACTTCATAGAAACTACTAGCCACAGTATGTCTGACTGGTACTTCAGGATCATGACAGAAACAAAAGAATGTAGAATACAGTTCCAAATTGAAATTTTTGGGATCCACAAAAATCATCATGGCCTAGAAATATAAACAATGTAATATATAATAAAGGTTAGCACATATATGTCTGCCCCCCTCTTCCACTTTCCTATTTGATTTCCAAAAATAACTGGCAGAAATAGAAATTATAATCTGTCTGTTTACTTGGAGTAAGTGACCCCGGCCATCGAATCAGGCAACCCTTCTTCCGCCTTTTAATCTACCCTTTGTTAAACAGTAAAAGGTTCAGCCCCACTAAATACTGTTCTCTGATTTAGGAGAAAATGTGTTTCAGAGGAAATAATCTCTCTTTAAAATCAGAAAGAGTTTCACAAGATCTATCTTTTATAGAAATTATGGATAGATAAATAAAAGAGCATTTCACTCACAGGTAAATTGTAAGCACAGTTCTTTCTCACTGATATGTATTTCTTTTCCTGTTCTAGGGTTTGCAGCTGAATCTGGTTGTCATTGTGCCCATTTTCCTGTTCTAATCCCAATGTACAAAGCTTCTTATAGAACTCCAAAAATCGCAAATGCTGCTCTGGTGTAAAAATTCCTTTAAACAAATAAAATGCTTGTTCAATATTTTATTTGCATAAATTGGTTAAATGACAGCCTATCCAAACATTGTGCTTATAGTAGCAGACATAATGAATTCAGCATTATCTTTAAATCTCTGCCATGCCAGGCATTTTATTGACAATACTGGAAGATCTCATTTCTTCTTTCCTTAGCTGCCTCACGCAACTGTAAACTTTAGAGATTCCAAATATAACTTTTGAAAACACTTTCTATTAATGTGAAGAAACATAGGCTTGATTAAACTAAATATTTTATTTTCTATCATTTTGAAATTTAGCCTTTGCAGATCAAAAACCATAACAAAACAATCACCATGAACTTCTAATATGCTGAGGCTTTCCTCTCTGCACAGATCAAACCCACATTTTGTAGTGCTAACAGCAATCTAATACTTCTCCAGAATATCAAATAAGAGTGACTGTATTCTATGTGATTTCACTGACAAATTTCCAAACATACCGAGGCTTACATTCTAAAAGTATATATTAACTCTGCTTCAGGGCTTTTCTATAATATATTAGAAGTATGTAATTACTTGATCTCTGAAGAGAAAAGCCCTGACAGAATAAATTCTTATTAGGTTTTGGATAAAACTTTAAAGCTAACTATTTCCCATTTCAGTGCTTACCAAGAAATCTGATTAAACATGATATCTGAACATAGGTTTTACAGGTTGCAATGTATATAGCAAGCTATTGGGAAAAAAACAGACATCAAATATGTGAGTAGTACTGGTCTTTATGATGTGGTTGGATTAAAGCTGAAAGGACAGTCAGCAGCTGATATTGTATCATCATAATCAAAAGGATAAGTTGATGCTGGAAAAGTGTATAGGGGAATGCTGGAATCATGATCCAAGGCAGGCTTGATGAAGTCCAGCAGAATTATAAGAATGAATACTGAAATAGTCCGTTTCACATGAGAGGAGCATCAAAGCTTCTATTATGAACAAAAACACCACAGAAGAAAGGAAGTCATCCCTATTAACAAAAGGGAGCTGCAGTCAGTGCTTGGATGCTTCTCTTTCCTCCTCCCCCCCTTCCCCCCACGACAGAATTATCTCTATTAGAATTCAGGGCAAGCCAATATTATGATGATCCAAGTCCATACACCAACCATAGTTTTAGAAGAAGAAGAACTTGAAAAGTTCAATAGTAACTTGTAACACCATGTCAACAGAGCACTAAAAATTACATTTTACTAATTACGGAATATTACCTAGAATGAAAATTTGGTCTTGGTATAAGAAATGAAGCAAAAGAAAGGCTAAGAGAATACTACAAATATTCAGGTTTCTTCCAATAATTTAAAAGACAACCCAACACATGGTCATTGCCAGAGAGAGAGAGAATGCCAACATGAAATGTTGTAAGTCACTATTTTCAATGCTATTGTAACTTCGAACAGCTAAACAACTGGTAATTAAGTTGAGGACTACCTGTAGATTGTCAATAAGCTTCTGGACCCAATTCAAAGTATTGGTAATTAACTACTGTGCAGCATCAGGTTTTCTTACATCCGTTGAACAGTTCCACTTGTTCAGAATAAGTCTGCCCTTCCTATCAGCTCATTCCTCCTCCATGTAAAATTTGCATGATATGAATTAAATGCCTTAGAAATCCATTTTGTTTTGGGGAACAGAAATAGATTTTTTTTTTTTGAAAATAGGAAATAACTACTAAAACACTATTTTATTTGGTATTTAACTATTTGAATGAGTTTTAAGTGAATGTTGACAAATTATATATTTTCTAAACTATACTCAGTGTTTAAGCAGATATTGATTAAAAATTAATACCAATGCTATCATACTATACATTATCTGGGGGGGGGAAGTGGCATTTAATTATATTTTTCCATATTATATTTAATTGAATATCAAGTGTTCTTTATTCCAGAAGCAAGCATAATCAGGACTGCAGTGTTAAATGTTTCCAACCAAATATAAACAAATGCAGCACCCTTAAAATTGTATTGAAAACATTTTAGGCATACCATATAGTCCATTACAAAGCTTCCCTAAATGTAAAGATAATGAAACCAGAATAGATTCATCTGCTTTAAAGGACTTTTCACAGAATGATTTCACTAATGGGAGAACAGTTTGACTTCTATCATCTGAAAAACATAAAAGATATGATTAGAAAGGGATGAATAATCAACATATGACTGAGTATGAGCATATTAAAAACAGATCATAACAGATAGAAAAATAGCTGCAAAGCTAATGAATCTTACCCGCATCAAACATTTCTAACAGATTTACCAATGTTTCAAAAGCTGCAAGACGTACACTGCTGCCTTCATCCCTTGCTAATTCTACTAGTTCTGGAAGCACTACATTTTTTGTTAATTCCGTTCTACAAAAAAGAAACAACAAACATTTAGGAGATAACCCATAATTGTCATCTACTACAGTATTCACACTTTGGAAATAAGAAATGGCTTTCAATATGTATATTTCCTTAATCCATTTCTAGAGAAAAATATATTTAAACATGGGTAGAATTCACAAGTCAAGTAATAATTAGTTTACTAAAACCAATGGGACTAACTACTAAGTAGAGTGTTTACTGCATTTAATTTCTCAGTAGTATACACAGTAAAATTTCATATACAAGAACACTGTAATCTATACCAAAATTTATGTGCTGGAATTTGAATGGCTCAAATGCTTTCAGTGGAGATTTGTTCTAATTTGTCATCAGCTGAGTCAAAGAACTGATGGCATTCCAGTGGAGGAGCAGTAAATTGCTACACGAGAGCACATGAAAAAGATGCTACTCTACATTTGATGCCCTTCTTGAAATAACCAATCAGTCCTTTTATGTGAGAGAATCTTTTGTGTGTGTGTGTGTGTGTGTGTGTGTGTGTGTGTGTTTTCACGGAAAAGCATGACTTATGACATCACTATCAGGATGATAGAAAAATGAAATTCTAATTTTACAAGCTCAAACCCTATGTGTTTTACGTATATTTACCTCTCAAGATGTCAGTTTCACCATTTAGTGAGCTCCAGTTTAGGAAAAACTTAAACCAAAGAAGTATCTTTATGTCTTAACTGTCACAGCATAAAAACTTAAATTATTGCTTAGATTAAGCATATCACCTTAGCACTTTTAGTGAATCATGGCTACAGGAAAAATTCTTGTACTGACTGCATATGATATAGGCCACTAACGATTTTGACTTGCCTTTCTTTAATAAATCCTACTCTATATTAGTGATAAACAAGTAATTTCATTATTTTCTTATTGTGGTGGTTAAAAGAACTATTACAATGTTTTAATACTGATATTTCACTGTTTAACCCTAATTGAAATCCATTTCAGAATCATTATTTTCTCCTTTGACATATTCTCTTTTAAATTGCCTGACAAAATAAGACTAAAGCACTTATATATTCAATGCTATCAAAATATTGGTAAATACAATGTGTTAAGAGAGGAAGAATTTTTTAACAATACTCACAAAGCTGATAAAATATAAGGTTTATAATACTTTTGAAAATCTAGTAAATTAAAACTACTATCCTCAAAACCTAACTTCAATTCTAGAATGATATATTTTCTCATATAAATGTTATAAATCATTCATTTATCCAAAGAAACTATTTATTTGCAATTAACAGTGGAGTATCTCTTGGGACATAAATCAATAATAATTTTTATTTTAATAACATTGTTACCTCACCAACTCATAGAATTTTCATTCATTTATTGATACCAAAGACAATCTTTTTCTAAAACACTTACCATATTTATTTCTACATATTTAAAAATATTTTGGGAATCTAGTACTAAATAATTAAGTATTAAGTATTCTATAGAGATTACAAATTCTTTATTTTCACAGAGTGCTAGGAGGATAAAATGGAAGAGATTTTGAGAACATAGAATGTAAGAGTATCCAGCTGAGAATCCATTGCAGCCTATTAATGCATTGACCACTATATAGCAGGATCACAAGCTCAAGTTCAGCTTGTGATCCATCAAGCCACTCAAATCCATTATGCATGTATTGTTGTCCAGGACAGTGATCCTCCTCATCCATCCTTACTAATGGCTTTGGTTTTTTCTACCCAAATGCATTTTATATTTGTTCTTGCTAAATTTCATCTTAGTGATTTCTGCCCACTGTTATAGTTTGTGAAGATCCTCCATATCAGGGGTCAACAGACTCAATCCCTGGTCTGCAGACCCCTACTGGTCCATGGCCCATAGGCAACCAGTGGGCGCAAGAGGTGGGCGAGTGCAGGAAGCTCCATTTGTACAAGCAACGTGCACATGCGCAAAACCATCCCCTGTCCTCTGCCACTGCCGGTCCATGGACCCAGAAAGGTTGGAGAGCACTGCTCCAGATAGTCCTTGACTTATAACAGCAAGTAGGATCAGAATTTCATTGCTAAGTGATACATCATAAAGTGGGAATGCAACACTAAGCAATGGCTATCCCTGCAATCCTTGTTGCCATTATTAATTGAATCCCACAGCCATTAAGCAAGGTAACTTCCTACTGGCTTTCCACAACCAAAGTCAGTGGCAAAGCCAGCAGGAAGTTGCAAATTCCAGGCGTGGAGGCAGGTGACTGCTGCTGAATGTAGAAGGCAATGAGGGGAAGTGCAGGCATGTGGGAAAGAGTGTGCACGGAAGGATCTATAAGGGTGTGCAAAAGATGCTGCACAGGTCAAGGAGGATATGTGAGGATGTGGGAAAGATACAATGAGGGTGAAGAAGGGTGCCTTGGCTGCACAAGTGGCCAGTGCAGTACAAGCACAGAGGAGCTGTGGGTGGGGGAGACTTACCCTAATGACTTGCAACTTGTCATTGACTTTCTGGGGAAGCCAGCAGGGAAGGTTGCAAATGGCAATCAAGTCATTGTGGGTCTCTGCAGTCATAAGTATGAATCTGCTGCCAAGTACCCAGATCTTAATCACTGATTGTTGGCCAGGGCTCCAAGGATTGATCGTAACCAACATTCATTCAGCACTGGCATAACTTAAAATGGTCACTGAATAATCATAGGTCAAAGACTCTCTGTACTCCATTATATTTGTGCAACGTGCCAAGTTTAAAATCATGTTTTCTAAATATATCTAAATTGTTTACAAATATGTTGAAAAACACAGAAACTAGAACTGAGGGCTACAGTATGTCACTCAGTATACTCAAATACTCAACATGCTGCAGAACTACTGATATAATGACATTGGGTTATGACTGTTTAACTAACTTCAGATTCACTCTAACTTATACTTTATTAACTGACCAAGATTAGCTTAGTGATACTTTGAATTTGGATTTTTTTTTCAGATATTTTAATATTTATGTCACACTGGCTATGAGAGAAATAGCCCAGGATTCAAAGATGAATTTATTAACAATTGCAAATTAAGAGAAGCATGCTTGGCAGCAGCAATAAGAAAATTTTTGCCTAACATATCTAATATATCTTGGTTATTCATAAAAGGAAATCACTTGTAATTGGAGTAAGTAATTTGGAAACTTATATTGTATGAGTTCAACCTAACATATTAAATCAATCTGATTTAGAAACCGTGCAAGCTCTTGCAAATTAATACCAACATTATTTGGAATTATTTTCACAGAATAAATAATTATCAGCCTTGCTCACCCTATTCCTTGAGCAATTAGTTCTAGCTGCCGGCACATGTAGGAACGAACTTCATATTCTACATCCTGGCAAAGAGATTTTACCAGGGGAAGGATTTCTCTTTTAATGCTAAAAAGGAAACAGTTACTTAAATTATAATAGAAAAAAATGCTCTCCTAATTTTATCATATATATCTCAAAACTGTAATAAAAGAGTAAAAACTGATAATTCTAATTTATGTAATTGTTATAATAATGTATGCAATAATTATATTTATGAACATCACACTACAATACATATAAAAGATAATTTATACTTCTCAAATGTTAAGAACTTATAGGCCGCTATAGCATCATAACAATATTTAATAATGAAATACTAGAAGCAGAAATGTTAGCAAATAAACAGAACTGCAAACTCTAACTACTTTATCGGTATTAATGATAAGTAGATAAATAATTGAGAAATGTATCAAAAATTCTAAATTTCTGAACAGGCAGCATAAATGATACAGCATGAATTTCATCTGTTCAGATCAGTCTGATCTGAAAAAAATCTTCTAGAATATCAAGATATTATCACAGTTAAACTAAATATTTTAAAACACACAATTTACTTTGGAACCAACAGAAGGTTCTTGGGAAGATAAGATATATTTTAAAAATCTGTTTCTTTATGGGTCATTTTGTTCTCCCTCATTTGGTTATTTGTTCATGAAAGTCTTTTGATTGGCATCAGGATGAAGGCAAGCATTCTTTGGATTCTGTTTTCACAGAATCATCACAGAACAAAATCTGACCGGCTACTTGGCATCATCCTAAAGTCAAATCATATTTCGATCAATGCTTTCTTCTTTCCCTTGGGCACACAGGGAAAAAAAGGGAGAAGTCAAGAAATCTACCCATCTATGTTATAGAAGCTATCATGATTAAAATATGGTGGGTGCCTTTATTTCCTGGCTACTCACCAGAGAATTCTCAAAGGGAGGGGGGGTTGTCTCTACAGCAAGATAAAATTAAAATAAATTCATATGTAGCTAAAAAGAAGATAATGGATTCAAGAACCATTCACTGATGTTATTTTTAATATCTTACACATCCACATAAAATATCCAATATACTATAAACCTGCCTATCAACACAGCGATGCAAGGTCCGAAGAAAATTAAGCATATCACAATGAACCTATCTTGAGCATTCATAAATCTCAATTCTTATATAAACTCTATTCTGAGTTACACTATCATATTATTTGAAACTAAAAGACAGGCAGACAAATCCAATACCTTTATAAGAGCAAACAAGGTGGTACTTCTGAACAAAAATGAGGTTGACTATTTCTGAAATTGCTTTCATGCTGGATGGCATGCAATTATTTTATATCCTTCAATATGGTATACCATTCTTGACAAGAAATTTAAAAACACTTCCAAACAAAATAAAATCTAAAATGGCAACTAGTAGGGCAAATCATGAAAATAAGACTAAAATTTGCTGAAATGACACTATGCAGGACAAAGATAGGAAATATTTATCCTTTTATAGAGGATACAATTCAGGACCTACAATTGCTATGTAGACTTAATTATTTCCATTTAGATTAAAAAAAGATGCTGCTCATCAGAGCTTTATGGATTGTGTCTTAAGGTCACTGTACAATACACAGCTTGTCAATAGCCCAAAGTAGTATTCTTTTCTATTGCAACAAAATGAGGTCACCTTGTTTCCTTTGTAGACCATTTATTCATTAGGACATCTAAAACACACACAAGCTACTCACATATGAGCTTCAAACTTGTTAGCTAATTTCCCCAAGATTTTACAACTAACCAGGCGAGACTGAAGTGTTTGGGAAAGCTGTGCCTTGGAAACAAGAGGATTCAGGATCTATAGGACAGCAGACAGAAGAAGAAATTCAGGTAACAAATCTAGAATTAGATAAATAAAAGTCAAGCAACAAAAATATGCATTAAGAACTACTTCACATGTTAAAACCTTTATTAGTATCAGTTTTCCAAATCATCCTTGCAGCAAGAGTCAGCATACTTGAAATTACAGGCTACATTTGATACAATTTATAATTTTTTTTTCTTATCAGAAAAATATAACCTGTGGCATAATGGCCAAGTTAGTAAAACCACTAAGATAAACCAAAGTTTATACTCTCCAATCTAAAACTTAAAAGGCATTTAAATTGTATAATAATAATAATACCGTATATGCCGGCGTACAAGGCCACCCGGCGTATAAGATGACCCCCGTCTTTATTGCCGGACCGCATTCCTAGAACGTCGTCTTATACGACAGAAAGTACCAGTATTTCCGGCGTATAAGACGACTCGGCATATAAGACGACCGTCTTTGGCGCCAATTTTAGCACTTGCGGAAGTCGCCTTATACGCCGGCATATACGGTAATAATAATAATAATAATAGTAATGATGATGATGATGATAATAATAATGTTATTGTTGTTAATTGCGAAGTCGTGTCCGACCCATCGTGACCCCATGGACAATGTTCTTCCAGGCCTTCCTGTCCTCTACCATCTTCTGGAGTCCATTTAAGCTCACGCCTACTGCTTCAGTGACTCCATCCAGCCATTTCATTCTCTGTCGTCCCATTCTTCTATTGCCCTCAATCTTTTCCAGCATTAGGCCCTTCTCCAGTGAGTCTTTCCTTCTCATTAGGTGACCAAAGTATTTGAGTTTCAACTTCAGGATATGGCCTTCTAAAGAGCAGTCGGGGTTGATCTCTTCTAGGACTGACTGGTTTGAACGCCTTGCAGTACAAGGGAATTACTACTACTACTACTACTACTACTACTACTACTACTACTGCTATTATTATTATTATTATTATAGAACAATGTAAATGCCTTTTAAGTTTTGTACAATTTTAAACATAACTCTTGGGTTTTCCCATTCCATATAAATCTTGAACATTCACTAATCTTTGCTGTTAATACCGGTATATGTTATCAAGCCAAGTTTTTAATATTCCATTTTAGAGACATTTTATTTAATGTCTCTAGTAAAAAAAAGTCCATTCTGAATTATCAAAGGCTTTTTAATGTCTAAAAATATTACAGCTGTCCTCTTTTTATTAATGTTGAGTAATTTTAGTATTGTTGTTGTTAGTTGCAAAGTCATGTCCGACCCATTGCAACCCCATGGACAACGTTCCTCCAGGCCTTCCTGTCCTCTATCATCTTCTGGAGTCCATTTAACTTCACACAAATCTGTTACCTTTTATTTTCCTTTTTGGACTGTAATTGTCTGATTTACATGTACAGTTTTGGGAATGTGCTTCGTATGTTTGGCTAATATGTATTTGCCATTCAGTAAAGAAATTGGCCCATATGCCTGAGATTTCTTTGGGTTATTGTGTATTAACATAATATACATCTTCTTCTCAAGCTTTGTTTGACTTTCATTCATTTTCAATAGGAGTTCTGCTAATACCTCTTCTTTTTGTTACACAAAATTGTCAGCAGTTCTGTGCCTGGCGCCGTATTCATTTTAATTTTCTTTACTGCTTATCTAATCTCTTGCGCTCATATTAATTTGCTTAAGATTTGTCTACATTCTTTAGTAAATTCTTTAAGCTCTGAGTTTTCAATAAATGTTTCTGAATGTCCCTTGTAATTTTATGACTGGAATATAATTCCACAAAAATATTCTTTTGTTATTACCAATCTTAGATACAATAATTTGTTTTCTTTCTTCATAGCTATATCAGCCTTCTTTCTTTCTTTTTTCTGATCTAATATGACAAATGTTTCCTTGTTTTTTTGCCTTTTTATCTTTTGAAATTCTACCACTTTCAATAAATCTAATTGTTAATTAATTTACTGAACTCTTTCAATGCTTGTTGATCGAGGCTAGTTTTATGAATCTATCCTAAATCTTTTATTCTTTCTTCTAATTATGATTTCTATTATGTTCTTTTTTTCCTGATTTGCTGCAAGCCTTATTAAAATTCCTCTCATATAAACTTTACTTGTCTCCCATATAGTGGTCTCTGGTATCCTTGTGACATATTTTTACAAACAATAATTCTTATTTCTATAATTCTTTAAGCAACACTATATGATTAGTGTTTCTTTAAGTATCACATATCATTCATCCTCTATCTGAAGATAATTTCTGAAACCAAGATTAGAGTATGATCTGCATACATCACTGAATCAATATTATTTCTTTGTTAGATGGTGTGACTCTTTTAGATTTAGTATATATCAATTCTTGAGTACACTTGGTGTTTTACTAAATAAACATACATTCTTTTGGTTTTGGATTTCTAAAAACTTAATTTATTCATTTTTAAGATTTATAAGGCTTACCAAGTCAAATGGCTTGACTATGGGCAGTATACTGCATAAACACATAAAAAAAAACCCACCATATAACAATAAATAGACAATATATAAGTATAAAATGGTGACCAAGCATACAATAAAAATCAACCGGTTCCTATTCCCTATTGGCCTATTCCCATAGTCCAGCTCCATCACTACAGCCATAGGACACTGACTGGATTTTGCCAAGACTGTCAGCTAGCTTCTCCTCCCACTGCAGATTGATGGCAGCCTTGTCTATCTTCAGCATTCCAAGTGTCCAAGGGCCAGCTGAGACTAGTCAAACTGCTCACCCACCAGAAGCTGATCACTTCAGGTCAAATAACAGGCCATTCACATGGAGGACAATCTTCTTTGGAGCCTCCATACAAGACACATGAACAAACTGCCATGTATAAGGTAGGCAGCAGCTCCACTCACAGTGCTGTTGCCTTTCCCACACCACCAGCTCCAGCCCAGCAATTGCTGTTCCTTATTGCTCCAAATTTCACTGCAAGTTCATTCCCCAAAAGATGTTGAATGAAAGGTACTGCCATGGTGCCACCCTAGATAGCACTCCACCAAATAAGCTGTTCAGAGCTGCATTAGTCATCAGCAGAGCTGCAGTTCCATTTACAGCACTCATGCACTGCCAACACTCTTTGGATACCTGCCTGTCCAAAGCAGCTGAGAAGCTAGTCCAGGGTCCCAGCAATTCCTCTGTTACACATCCAAAGCTTCCAGCACCAAAGCCACTATCAGACTCCTGGAAAGATGGTCCTCCAAAAACCTAAATCCAAGCCTCAAAACCTAACCCAACCTCCATCACATCCTAAAACCAATACAAAAGTCCCTCACAGCTAACAAATACCTACCAACTCAGTTGCCATTTTTAAAAAAATGCTGTAATTTATTTGCTAAGCGTTGGTCAAACCAATACATTCATCTACTAGAAAACCTTTCTTGGAAGCTGTCCAACTCCCTCGCCTCTCGGGATTGTTTGTCTAAATTTGGATCTAGCATTCTATTCATGTCTTCTACAATACTTTTTTCCTCCTATGCAATTCTTATTTACATTTGGAATAATTTTTTCTTAGCTATATTTAGAGCATAAATGGATGGATAGATACCAGTATTAAAATGTTGCCTTCTTTCTTAATTTCAAGTTACTTCCTTCTTTGCCCTTTAATTGTTTTAGTTTTTCATTATCAATATTTTAATTTGCTCATTGAACAGAATATTAAAAAATGCATATCTTCTTACAGTCTATAACTGAAAAATTATAATCATGCTGCAACTGAAAATTAATTTTTGGAGCTGCAAAAGGGTTTTCCAATTTACTGAGAAATTAGGAATGGGCAATTGGGCAATATTTTTTTATTTCTGCTAGGATGATTTGCAGCCAAAATATGACACAACACTTTCCACTTTTATTTAAAATAAATATTTTATTTAAAATAAATATGTTGACTTAATATTTCAAGAAAATAAAAATAAGAAATATAAAACTATACTTTGATAAGCTACAAGTTTGAGTAATACTCACTTAAATTCTTAGATCTTATGTCTTTTAATAATTAAATAATTAAATTTCCACATATTTTTGTTTTTCTTGATAGTAGTCAAATCTTTTTTCATTTTGAAAGTTTTGAAAGTTTATGATCATATGTCACATTTCACTGTAACTAATACAAAATGGGTAGAAGGTTTCATATACTAGAGCACGGGTGTCAAACTCGATCATATCACATGATGTATCACTACTTTTTTGCCTTTGCAGGCCACCAGTTTGACACCCCTGTACTAGAGCATGAAGGCCAAATCTAGTTCTAAATAGAAAGCAAACTATAACTATAAGCCACAATCTATCTTCCCACTAATATCGTGGGAAAACAATATTACCTCATGTCTAATAGTTTCTTTTGGAAGAGCTTCTATTGCAGCAAGAAGTGTGTCCAGCCAAGCATTACTGACACCTGTGAAGTACAAATGAACTACAGATATAAGCACCACAAGCCAATTCTTAAAATTCTTTTAGACAATGACTTCTATTAACAATATTGTGACAATAGTAACACTAAAATAAATATATAATTTATACATTATAAAAGTTAATATGTTAAAATATAATTTAACAGATCAAAGTCCCACCAAATGAAAGGCTAGACTGAACTTACCCAGGAGTATAGGTAGACCATGTTTACTGACTGCCTTGTTCAGTGACCATATAAAGTTTTGACAGTGCTGAAAAATTAACTTTAAGACCTATGTCCACATTAATTACCTTTGTAGTGTCTCTCAGTCGTGTAATTACCATTATAATCAGTACATATTGTCCTGTGCCTGATCTGTTTTTCTTTTTGATTCCTCCTTGCAAATAGGAGAAATTGGAGAAGAATGGATCACAAATAGGAGAGATTGGAGAAGAAGGGATCACAAGTGAATACATAGGCACAAACGGGGGGGGGGGGATACATTGGGTTATTTGTATAATATCTTCACGGTTTTTATCCCTGAATATTCTTGGGATTGCCAGCACCACCTCATTCCTTTTGATGTGTCTTCCCCGTTATGTGCCTGCTTAGTCTCTTGTAATTCCCTCCTCTTTTTTATAATTTTATTAAAAGGGGTTTTTTTTAATAAACAAAGGCTAATCAACTATATGATGTACCACTAGCAAACCTATTCTGTAATCACTTATTTTATTTTATTCTGGCACGTACTGCTTTAAATAGTACATTATCAGAAGAAAAAGCACAGCAAACTAAGAAATCAGCAACATGGCATTCATCTGACCTGCATCTCTATGCTCCAGATTCTGTAGAATGAGTTGTAAGAATGAGTGAGAGTAAGTATGGATGGATATTGACTCCTCTTGAAGAATTGTCAAAAGAGAAACAGCTGCTGTTAGTTGCATTTCCACACCTGCAACAGGTAGAACTTCCTGTATAACCAGAAAATAACCAAGCAAAACACATACATACATTAAAAACAAAGATAAAAAGATAAAAAGTACATCTTACTATTTGTAAAATATATCATACTTTAATCATACCTAATTTATAATTATTGTGATTTATTGTAGTTTTGCTTTCTCACACTTTGAGGACAATTGAACACAGCTGCATTAACACACCCACTTCTTCTTGGGCACTCTACCGTGGGTGATCCAATACGAGCATTCTTACTCAGCTGGCTTTCCACTGCCCCTCTTCTCCCACCATTGGTCCACCAGCACTCTTCCTCTGCCCCTTCATCCCAGGTGTTTCACAGAGAGAAGAGGAGGAAGAGGAGGAAGCTGAAGTGTTACAAAAAGGAGAGCTACCCCCTTTCTCCCTCATCTCTCTCTTTTTTTAATCTCTTCCCACTCCATCCATGTGCTGCAAGAAGGGGGAGAAAACAGGAAGGGTGTGTGTGTGTGTGAGAGAGAGAGAGAGAGAGAGAGAGAGAGAGAGAGAGAAGAGAAGGGAAGCAAAAGTTTGGGGAATGGAGAGTATTGCAGACGGAATAAGCAAACTTAAAAAAAGAGCAGGTAAAAAAAAAAGAGATGGGAGGGAGAAAGTGTCCAGATTTTGATCATGTGACCAGGGGGATGCTGCAATAGTCATAACTATGAAAAATAGTCACAAGTCACTTTTTCCAGGGCTGTTGTAACTTCTAAATGAATGGTTGTAAATCAACAACTACCTGCAACTAATTTTGTCTTTAATAAAATATTCACAGCTACCAAAATCAGTGGGAGTTTCGTTCTTGGTATAACTGTAATGCATGCAATACATTAATAGGAAATCATGCTATACCTACTCGAACTTTTGGCAAGACTCTCCTCAGTGTCTCTGTAGGATTCTGTCGCATCAGGACTGGAAGATTTGCAACCACACTTGTCCCTTGGATGTCTTGCCCAGAACTTTTTAAAAAAAAAAAGAACAAAAAAATGTTAAAACATTTTCTATGAGATCAAGTTTAATAAAAAGAAAATAAAAACTGCTAGGAAATTAAACCTCATATCATAAAAATACATAAACTGGATAAATCTGTTTTAAAAATAAAAACACATGAAAAAGAAATCATTATTTACACATACTATTAACAGAATAAATAAAAGGAATTTGGTAAAACCCAACTATTCTGATTTGTTTTAAAATGAATTCAAAATATTTCAACTCTTCTTATCAGACCTTCCTCAGTATATCATTTAACTGATTTACACAACATGCTCCTGAGGCAGAGAACTGAGCTAAATTTTCAGCTTATAACAATGTAGATTTATTCAGCCAAGATCACAGGTTTTGGAATCTTTCTCATTTCCAAATTATTATTTGAATAAGAAACATATTTTGACACCATTAGATTTTAGAACATAAAATCTAATGTGAGGAGACTTGAGAAAAATGATTTTGTATCCATTAGTGCAGTTCTTTGAGTGGTTCCCTGAATTCACACACATGGGTAATGTACTTGCATTGAGACCTAGTCAAAACCTTATAGAATTTAAAAGATTTGACAGGATGCCCTGCCCTCCCATGTATAGAATGTGATCAGCTGAACCCTTTCAGTTTTTAAAATTAACACAGCAGATCTGAAAGAAAATAAGATCACCTGAAACCAAGCAAAGTAGAGGAGTGGACTGTGTGAATTCATAGTTGACCACTCAAAGGATGCAGTTAGAAGTAAATATCCAGCTCTTCGTCATCATGATCTCTTCATACACAAGTTTCAGCAGCAAATTATTTATCTGGAGGGGGATCTGGAGAAGGGGAATGAAAGAGATGACAGCCTTTCTAAAGGTTGTGTCTTTCTAGGAGTGGAGATCCAGTTTATAGTACTGGATTAAATTGGGAAATTAATTTTGGTTGAGGGAATATTGGAGCGACTACAGTACAAATTGGAATGGAGTAGGGTAAATACAAATGTAATGATGAGTGCTATCCATTTAAAGAAATCTGGAAAGAATATATCCTTTAAATGGGTCTTGAAAGCCATTTCCCCCCTCCCCAAATTGACTCTAAAAATGATACTGCACAGTTCTGTATGAAAAATGAAAAGATGGTGGCCATCCAACAGATGAAACAATGTTCTGAATTCTGGACCAAGTATTTTAGATGCAGAGTTTAGAAGGGGCAAAGGATGGTGTATGAATTAGTATTTAGATGTGAGAAACAAAGACAATTTGGAAAACAAAAATATAAGGAGACGTAATGAATGGTAATAAAGTAAACTAGATATGTGTAGATTTCCTTCTAGCTTATTTATTATTTATGATTTATTTCTTGTCTTTAATTTCTTTAGCTTATTACCACTGTGCATAAAGTTATTTCAAATGGCATGATGAGTCTATGTATGAGCAGAACCAAAGAAGGAACTGAATTATAAAGAAGTGGGATTATTTCTGTGATTGGTATTTCTTTGGCACATTGTGCGATATACAGTAATGCTGTTCTATTTGTTTAACTGCTTTGATCTTATTATGTATTTAGGTATGTAAGCTGCTTCCAATTCATTTCAACTGAAATAGCATATAAACCAAGCAGGAAATGAAGGGAAGAACATAGAAAGATGATACCAGGCTGATGTTACATTGTGGACAGTGAAAATGCCAATTTTGGTATATGGCTAAAGAGAACTCTATATGGTAACTATGTGGAATTAATAGAACCCAAATATTGCTTATTGAGTCAGCTGTATGACAAACTAAAATTACTTGCTTGATAAAATGTTGCTTCTGCTTAAAAATGCTGACAAATGAGATATGGTAGGAATGAAGATATCATATCAAAAATATAACATGAATCCAAAACCAATTTTCTGCCCTCATCCTGAATGCTGAATGCAGATCATTGTTGTTTCTAAAAATCCAATTTTGATGTCTCACTACTTATTTAGTATACTTAAATATACTATTTGCCAAACAAATATAGACTAATAGTGGCTTACAAAATTGTCAACAAAACTTTCAACATTGATTTACTTTCTTTATTTGTATGGTACCCAACCCCAAAAAGCTCTAAGTAGCTAAACTTAACGTCATCATAAAATAAGGCATTGATTACAAAAAAACCAAAAAAATCAAAACTGATCAAAGTAAAAAAAAAAAAAAAACCAGAAAAACATAGCAATCATATACTTGCAGTCTCCTTTCTAATCAAAGCATTCCCTCCTCCTGTGCCAGATGGAATTGGCAGTTCTTAGCAGCTTTCCTAAAGCTTAGAAGAAACATAGACAATCTAATCTGTGCAGGAAGAGAATTTCAAAGTGTGGGGGTGACTATTGATAATAAAAATTATCAATATGACAAGTATAAAAATTCTCAAGGTGACAAATTGATAGCATCAACACCAAACAGGCTGTTGATGTCTATGGAGATTCTCAATAATCCAGGTCATGGTTGTCCCAAAGGTGCTGTTCAAAAGGCAACTGAATTTTCTTGTTTTTTTTCATGAAAACATTTTGCTTTTCATCCAAGAATCTTCTTCAGTTTCTCGGATGAGAAGCAAAATGTTTTCAAGGAAAAAAAAGAAAGAAAGTCCAATTACCTTTTGAACCTTTGGATAGATTGTTGTTGTTTCTTCCTCCAATTTAAAAACCACACGTAATTTTAGAATTCTAATGGTGTTTATGACATGGGTATACTAGAACCTTGGAGAGTTTTAACTGAGGGAGGAAGGAAGGAAGGAAGGAAGGAAGGAAGGAAGGAAGGAAGGGAGGATTACACTGGAAACACAGAATGATACAGTGGCAACTGTTTGGAAGAGATCAGTCTACATACCAGTACCACAAGGAGGGGATTTAACAGTGTCTGGAAATTATTGTACCCCTTATCACAAATTAATGTTTAGGATCGCCCAATGCAAATTTGAGCCCTACATGAAAAGAGAAATGCTAGAAATTCAAGCTGGCTCTAGAAAAGGCTGAGAAACACAAGACATTATTGTTGATATATGCTAGATAATTGAGAAAATCAAAGAATATCAATGAGAAGTTGGTATGCACTTCATTCATTTTAGAAAGACAATTTCTTCAACTGAGTTGATCATATCAATTTACAGAATGTGCTTAGAAAAAATAGAAATTCCAGAACATCTAATTGTCCTCATGCCAGACCTATATACAGATCAGGAAGCCACAGTCCAGCAGAACATGGCGAAACAGATGGCTTCAACTTGACAAAGAAGTGGCCTTATTTAACCAATTTATATACTGAATATATATTGAGAGAAGCTGGGTTGGAAGAAAGTGAGCAGTGTTTTAAAACTGGAGCAAGAAATATTATTAATCTGTGCTATGTTGATGGCACTATTCCAGTTATTAAAAAATCTGCAAAGATCTAAAGGATCTGCAAGCCCTAGTAATACAAGTCAAGAAGCACAGTAAAATATGTACAAACAGTGTACAAAAAAAGGTGTCAGAACTCATACACGTCATACAACCCGCTTTGCCTACCCTACAAGATTCCATCCAAAAAAGGTGCTGGAACTCCGTTCTGGGCATTCTATGAGAAAAAAAACCCTGTGTACAAATAAGACCAAACTTATTACAATAGGTACAACCACAATTCATAGAATTGATACTGAAAATACTGAAGTGGTATATTGCTTCTATCTTTTAGGATCAACCATCAACACTATAGCAACTGACCTAGAAAATCTCCAGGGTCCCTTCCACCCTATGATTTTTAAAGGATGTTGACTGTCCTTGTATCTTATTTAATCAATACACAGATGTATAAACAAGTTTAGCTGGACCTTTTGCAGTTGTGCAACAATTCAAGGCTAATCCCCCACTTCAGTCTTCCTCCCTGCCTGGTCGGATGTTTCCCAACATCCCCAAAAGTGTTTTGGAGTGCATAGAGGTGCAAACAGCACACACATTAATATCTCTTTAAACCAAATATTGTGAAAAATTGAAAGATATTCCTGAAATGGACACCTCTGTATTTTTATCTTATATGACTTTTTAAGAGTTTCCAAACATTGCAGTGGGGTGGCTGTGCTACTTACAAAAAAGAAGCTGATTTTGATTAACTTCATGAATAATGTTAATTAACATTACAAAAGCAAAAGTAAAGTAATCAACACCACCCACTCCCACTACTACTATTTTGACAGGCTCTGCCAGCAATATCAGATTCACAACTGAACAGTGAAACACCGAACCAATACACTAAGCACAACCAATGTGCTAAGCACATACAAAACAAACACAGGTAGATATGTCAGGTTTTTAAATGTATGCAGAAGTCAAACAATTACAAACAAAGCAAACAAACAAGGCCTTCACTAATCAACCTTCCAAGTGCATCAACAGATACAAGGTCCAAAGGTCAATCAACATCCAACCAAAATCAGCATAGCAAAGTATTATTGAAAATATAATTATATTGCCTTGCTAAGCTAGGTGTGAGGGTTCACTCTTTACATGTGTATTCAACTTATACAACAATTTCAGGAGTTTGAAAATAAAAGACTTGGTTCAATTTTAAGGATGACCTGAAGCTCAAATAAAATTATATCCACTTTGAAGAGGTAATTTAGATAGACCATTGAATCCATTCTACTGCTCAATAAAGGAATGCAATTTAATCCATCAAAAGAACTAGTTGTCTGATATCTTTTTATTTTCCAAATAAGGGGGTCAACTTATTTTCCAAAGCACCAGAGGGAAGGACAAGAAACAATGGATGGAAACTAATCAAGGAGAGAAGCAACCTGGAATTAAGGAGAAACTTCCTAACAATGAGGACAATTAATTAGTGGAACAGCTTGCTATCAGAAGATGTGGGTGCTTCATCACTGGAGGTGATGGACTGGAGAGCCACTGATCTGAAATGGAATAGGGTCTCCTGGTAGAGGGATGGAACTAGAAGACCTCCAACGTCCCTTCCAGCTCTATTCTGATTTTAATTCTTCA